GATCAGTGGATGAGATGAATAGATGGGTGGATCGAAGAACGCCACTCAAGGGTGTGAAAGCCCCTGTGATGAATTCACAAACCTAGTCTCAAGGCATCGCACACAAAAGACATAGATTCAAATGTTTACTAAGTGAAGAATTCCATCTTCCTTAGATAAACAAAAACAAAGTCAAAGCTTTAGAGAAAAATCTCTTTTTATTTTCAAAAATTTATATATCTTTTTACAATGAGAACAATGAGCTTTTATAGCTCTTACAAAAGATCTTTACAAATAAATACACTTAAATGAAATTATTTACAATTAAACAAAAGGAGAAAATAAGCTAAATCAAATAAATGTCTTCTTGGCACCAATTTCTCTTTAGACTTGAATGAGAATCATTTGATTTTGTGAAATGATTAAGACCAAATTCTTATAATAAATCTACATAAGGAAGACCTTTGATTTAGTTTTTTTCCATATTGTATCATTATTATGCGATCATCAAATCAGTAGCTGAACCAGAGATCCATCAAACATGACACTCTAGCTGCCAAGGGTCCGACCAGGACACATGTGCCTTTGATAGAGCGTATCTAGCCAATCAGAAGGAGTTAAACAACAAATCGACATGTTCCAGAAGACTGACTCAACAAGAATTCACGACGAATTTGAATCATCCAAATCACGATTCTGATGAAGAACTTATGCACCTTACAAAACCGGTGATGTCGAGCTTAACCCAATCAGATGTATGCGCATTGAATAGAGGATTCCGACCAGACCAAGAAGAACTAAGCTACAAACCGGATTGTTATAAACTCTTGGTCCAACATAGAAGGTTCTCCAATTGGATTCATATTAATACCGGTTCATACTTGGAAGTTATTGATCCTACAAGTAGGTGGACTTATTTCGGATCCAACTTTGCGACTAGGCCAGATATCGAGCTGCACAGCTCAACTCAGGCACTATCTCGACCCCAGACCACTTGGAGATTCTTACTTGGTCTCTCCTGGTTCCATCAAGCCCAAGATCAGAAACTATTCCCACGGGGTTCTCAAGTTATGCCCATTCTTCCAAAACGGGTCAAGTTGGTTCTATTCCGGGAAAGTTCTATCCTATTTGTTCTTCTTAGTCAACTAAAATCCCATGAAGAACGCCCACCTTCTAAGCCAATTTTTAGACAACAAGATTTCAGTGTTCAAAGAGCATAAAGGCGTGGTCAACCTCCATGTCCATCCTCATTCACATCAAAAATCCCTTAAAACTAGCTCTTTGATCATTCTAAATAATTTCTTATATTTAAGTTTGAATATCTTGTTTTAAATGTATTTATTAAAATCATATTTTGTAAGAGCTATAAAAAGCTCACTAATACTATTGCAAAAGTTACCAAGAAAGTTTCAAGAAAAACCCATTTAATTGTTTATTGTAGAGTATCTCTTTTAAACACTTGTTCCTGCGATTTTCTAAGTGTTTGTGGAATCAAACCCTTATATTTTCGTGTTGCAACTGACTGTCTATGCGAGTAAGAGCCCTTGGAAGTTAGAAGCATAAACCGTTGGTCGTGGAATTGATCAGCAACCCGTGTTAGACTTTGGTGGATTCCGAGTCTTACATCACTTCGGTATTACTCACAATAATAAAACGCTTTGTAAACTTAGTTAAGCGGGTAGGAGAAGTCACATTTCTCACTACTAAATGTTTGATAATCTTCCATTGTCCCTCATATAACTCGTTATCGAAGCGATCAAGAAAATACATCATCTCAACTGATGCTTGTATTTTAGTTCCCTATTATATACAGAACTGATTTAGGATCTACAATAGATGTTATCGATGGTATAGTAAATAGAAAAAATATAGTTCCCTTTAAACTTACATGTTAATCAACAAAAATGAAGTGCACCACTTCACTACCATGACTAAGTACTCTCCATTTCCGGTAGACCTTCACACAAATTTGCAAATCCATCTTCCATTCTCCAAGGTTTTGAATGGTAGTAATCGAAGACATTTCTTTCCTACTAAACTTAAGAACTGAATCCTAAAACTTCTTTTATAGACAACTTGTTCTAGGGCTTCCTATTATTTTAATAGATAGTGAAAATATCGATATGTCATATATTGGGAGAAGAAAAAAGCAAAAGTTTTACTTTTGTCAGACAATGAAACTTCAAATCAGAACAGAAACACAACAGTCCGTTGGAATAATAAACGGTAATGCTAATTTTTATATATCATCTGCAATTTGAAAAGTGAAATATGTCAAATCTACGTCTACAAAACATTTTGGCTTATAGGATGCAGATCAACGAAATATTGTTATCAAATGTGTACTGAAGGATTTGTACACAGATGATATATCGAGTCAAACGGATTATCATCATGTATAATATGTCCTTGCTACATCTAATCAAACTTTAACTTCGATGGCAATTCTTAAGTACAGATTGAAGTTTTGATGCCGGCTGTTTCATCTGCAGACTTTACATCGATCATTGTATTCAAAGTCCGTGACCAAACTTTTTTCAAACGGTATAGTCCCGTCGATACATCTATACACAACAATATAGTTAGGTCTCAAAATCTTCTATTTTCAAGAAAACTTTAACTTCGATGTCAATTCTTAATTAAAGGTTTTCGTTTTGATGAAACAGGTTTCTTCTCGAGACCTGATATCTCAATTGAATACATTAGACTGCATAAACTTGATTTAAATGGTATAGTCTCGTCGATGCATCTATACACAACAATATAGTTAGGTATCAAAATCTGCTATTTTCAAGAAAACTTTAATTTCGATGTCAATTCTTCATTAAAGGTTTCGTTTTGATGAAACAGGTTTCATCTCGAGACCTGATATCTTAATTGAATAGTATATATGTACAAACTTGATTTAAAGGGTATTGTTCCATGGGGTGAATTATTTCATTCAGATTCAAAACTTTCCTGGATTTGTAAATAATAGCTCTCCAGAAGTGAACATCGAGACTTTTCTCCAGCAAGGAGAAACATATCCAGGTTGAGATTTCTCTTCCTCTAATTTTCCTATTTAGTCCCTTGTTGTTGTTCTGGATTTGTAAAGAACAGCTCTCCAGAATTGATCATCGGGACTGTTCTCCAGAACGGAGAAACATATCCAAGTCCAGATTTCTCTTAGCTTCTTTTCCCATCATAGATGTAAAATCAATAATATGGTTTGATATGAAATAATGAATCGTTGATTGATGTCACTGTTAATAGTATGGATGAAGGAATGTTTGCGTGGTTGTTTAGATATATAAAATGTTTCCGATGGGGATGTTGTTAGATATTAGATATATAAAAAGAATAATTATGAATTAGTTATGAATGTATATGATGAATAGTATAAATATATAAAGATGAATTAGACCAAAATTGAATCCCTAAAATACCTATAATGAAATTTAGAAAAGAAGCTGAAAACCAATGGCATAAATCGTAATATACCACATGAAAAATGTTTAAACATTGAAGTGGACCTGAATTAATAGTATAGATTATAACAAACAACCTTAAATACTTAGTATGAGGCACGTGCCCCACTATTAACAACGTGGGTCCGCCCTTGGTCGTATATGAGACTTTATTAATAGTCATTCGATCTTAACCTTGTAGGGTCTAAACTGAAATAAAAGAAAGATGGAAAATATAAAAAAATAAACTCAAAGATTACAAAAAGTTATTAAAAGTTCTAGAAGCTAAGAATAAATCCTTACAAAAAGAAAAGAAAAACACGAGATATAGAATTAATTGACAAATACTTACTCTTGCCTCTTGCTTGATCCTTTGAATATGGTAAATACTTTGTCACCACGTCTTCTTAAGTTTGGTCGTTTTGATTTGGAATGATGAATAGCAAAGTTAGACCAAGCTTATCTTTGAGAAGGGGTTATCTAAGCTTGAATTCATCTTGAACTTGGTCGAGTTTTGAACATTTTGGAATTCGTCTAAGTGTTGGCCCATTTGCTCGTCATGTTCACCGGTCATTCGTCCCCTCATGCATGCGGTAATGCTCTCGGCCGCGATACATGGCTGGTATGTAATGCTGTCATCCCGTCCGGTTATGCAGGCTGTAATGCCCTCGTCTTTGGTAAAGCTGTCTGTACCGTTGCTGATGATGAGACTTTTGAGTATGATGGTGATCTCCTCCAGCTTTTTAGATTGTTGAGATTCTCTACAACTTTGTTGAATTCTTCTCACATGGTTCTTATACCTACCGGATCCTTGATGGTTCGTACATGATAGGTATTTTATGCTTGTCCATATTGAGGTCCTTGTCATTGAGGTTCTCATCATTTTCACAGATTTTTTTTTCAGATGATCAATGATAAAACATCAGATTGTACAAGAACTTTTTGAATTGAGATCGTGAAGAACAGCGATTTTTTGTTTTTGGTGTGATGAAGAACAGCAATTTTGGAAGCTAATAATCGATGATAAAGATCAAAAAAAAAAAAGATTGGATTTACAATAAAATTCCATCTTAATGTGTTAAAATATTAAAATTTAAACTTTAAAAAAAAACAATATATTTGTTTTGCTTAGAAATCTTAAAAAATATAACCCACGCAAGGCTGTAGATTCAAAATCTATATAGAGACTTCACAAACAACCCTTACGGCTCGCAAAGCCTTTACTTTAACTAATAAGAATTTGAGAATTTTCCTTTATTTTATTTTTGGGAATATCTAATAATAATAATTTAAAAAATAAAGAAAAAACAAGCATAGGCAGAGGCAGACGTTACGGTTAACATAATATTCAAACTAAAAGAGGGAAATGCGAAGACTGAACCGAATTTAAGGTCAAAAGAAAAAGTACACATAACACACACAAGTCAACAAAGATCCAGAGAGTTCGTCAATACAAGCATAAAAACAAAACCTGCAACTGGTAGTTGAGGTTTTCTTTTTTTCAAAGGAAACAAAAAAAAACTAAAAGCAAATGACTAAATTGTTTTTTTTCAAGGTGGTACAGCAAACTTACTCTCAGTACTCTTCTTCCTGTTGGTATTCTCCTTCTTCCTCGTCCTCGTACTCGCCTTCTTCATCTGCAGTCGCATCTTGGTATTGCTGGTACTCTGAGACAAGGTCGTTCATGTTGCTCTCCGCCTCTGTGAACTCCATCTCGTCCATTCCTTCACCCGTGTACCAATGCAAGAAAGCCTTCCTCCGGAACATAGCCGTGAACTGCTCGCTAACACGCCTGAACATCTCTTGGATCGACGTTGAGTTGCCAATGAAAGTGGAAGCCATCTTCAGACCCGTTGGTGGGATGTCACAGACCGTTGATTTCACGTTGTTGGGGATCCACTCAACGAAGTAGGACGAGTTCTTGTTCTGCACGTTCAGCATCTGCTCGTCGACTTCCTTCGTGCTCATCTTGCCACGGAACATCGCTGAGGCTGTGAGGTAGCGCCCGTGTCTTGGGTCAGCAGCACACATCATGTTCTTGGAGTCCCACATTTGCTGAGTGAGTTCAGGGACCGTGAGGGATCGGTACTGCTGAGATCCTCTTGAGGTGAGAGGAGCAAATCCAACCATGAAGAAGTGAAGACGAGGGAAAGGAATCAGATTCACAGCAAGCTTACGGAGGTCGGAGTTTAGCTGACCAGGGAATCTCAGACAGCATGTGACACCAGACATTGTAGCAGATATCAAATGGTTCAAGTCACCAACTGCATAAGAGAACGAACAAATATGTGTGAGTTAACTCCTTAGCCATTAACACATACACATCAATCAAAAATGCACAATAATAGAGCTTAAACAAATCACCAAGGCAGTCGATATATTATATAGCCACTGGGTTTTGAATATCCCCTATGTTACAAGATGTAGCTTGAGGATTTATTCTGGTGATGAGATCAATACAGACAACCAGAGAGTAATATACTGGGCCAATAACTCAAAAGCCAGAAGGTGAACAGACCACTGAATACAGTAATAAGACTAGCTACACGAAACAGTGAGCAACATCAAATTGCGACACAAAACAATGAGCCAAATCAAGTTCACCAGCATCTAGACAAAGCATATCGACTACAGATCAAAAGGCGTCTCACAGAGAAAGAAGAGAAATCAACATATAGGAACAGCAACTATGCGAGGACTTACAGCTTGGGGTTGTGAGTTTCAGAGTCCTGAAGCAAATGTCGTACAGAGCCTCGTTGTCAAGAACCATGCACTCATCTGCATTCTCAACAAGCTGATGAACAGACAAAGTAGCGTTGTAAGGCTCAACGACAGTGTCAGAGACCTTCGGTGAAGGGAACACCGAGAACGTAAGCATCATTCGATCAGGGTACTCCTCACGGATCTTGGAAATCAAGAGTGTTCCCATGCCAGATCCAGTTCCTCCTCCCAATGAATGGCAAACCTGAAACCCTGCAGAGCAAAATCCTCACAGTTTCAAACTCCGGTACAGTGGATAATAGTTTAACGAAAGCATAATCGGCCTCAAAACCTTGAACAGATCTAAGAGTATTTACCTTGGAGGCAGTCGCAGTTCTCCGCTTCCTTACGAACAACGTCGAGGACGGAATCGATTAGCTCGGCTCCTTCAGTGTAATGGCCCTTCGCCCAGTTGTTACCGGCACCGGATTGGCCGAAAACGAAGTTATCGGGACGGAAAGTCTGGCCGTACGGGCCAGATCTGAGGCTGTCCATGGTTCCAGGCTCCAAATCCATGAGAACAGCGCGAGGGACGAATCGACCACAGCTAGCTTCATTGTAGTACACGTTGATGCGCTCGAGCTGCAGATCTGAGTCTCCAGTGTAACGACCGGTTGGATCTATGCCGTGCTCGGCGCAGACCACTTCCCAGAACTTGGCACCGATCTGGTTACCGCACTGGCCAGCTTGGATGTGAAGGATCTCACGCATTTTCGGTAGATGAAGTGGGACGGAGACGACGCTGGGGATTTCGCCGGATCCGGGATCGAAATCTAGGGTTTTTCTGAAGTGAATCAAATGAGCAAGAGAGAGTGAAGAGGATGGGTATTTATAATAAAGCAGATGTAACAACGGGTATATATATATATATATATATATTCTTTTTTATATTGTTCTTCGTGGAGTTTTTTCCCTTATTATTCCCCTAAAATTCTCTGAGGCGCCGATCTGTTTTTATTCGAAATTTGAAAATGGCCTTTGTTTAGTGTAACGGTTACACTGTAAGTTGTGTAATCCCCAATTTCAAAATTTTAATTTATTTATTTCCAATGCCCCATCCCTCTATATTTCTTTTTTCAAGGTAAATTGTTTCTTTTATTTCTCTTTTTTTTGGTACAGCCTTTTTTTATTCCTTCTTATACTTTCATATATTTTTGGAACAATTTCGACCTATACAATAAAAGTGAAAAATAGAATAATGGAGAAGCACATGTTTTATCCTTGTTAACAGAGGAATGTAAACGTGTTTGGACAGACGAATTTCTCTTTACCCATAAATTTATTTTATGTATAATTAGTAAGAAAAACAAAGACCATTAGAAACTAATATCACATGCTTTGAGAGCAGCACAATTATTATAATCTTGGCTGATGTTAACAAAAAGTTATAAATTTTTTTGCCAACACATGCTCACAAAGTCACAATAGTAAAATATATTGAAGAATAGATATTGAAATTGTGTGAACACATGCTCACAAAGTCTAACACCGTTCTAATTATGTGACAATGGTGCTTCTTTTTGTTAAAGACACAATGGTGCTTCACTTATTAGTTAACAATTGGCTTTGTAGTTCAATGACAAAACAAAGTTATGTAAAGAAACTCCAATATTAAGTTATACTCTCTCCATTTCAGAATGTATGATGTTTTAGATGTTTCACAGATATTAAGAAAATAATGATTATTTATTTTTTTAAAGTACTTTTTGTGTGTTTATTAATTTAATACTAATTTTTTATATTTTTTTACTCAAAAAGTTGTCTTAGAAACAAAAATATATTAAATATAATGTAGAAAATCAATCTTTATGGAACAAAATAAAAAACTCAAAACATCATACAATATGGAACGAGGGAGTATATAAGACTGCAAAAAGTATGCAGCAACAAGAAGCTGAAAGAAGTTTTTTGTACTCCTAATTAATATAACGTTTTGACGAGAGAACAAATTATTACAGTACATTTGACTCGCATAAGTACTATTGTATATGATGTTGACAAAAAAAAAAGTACTATTGTATATGAAGTTCGAAGAAATTTACATAGACCGGTAGACGTACATGTAAACCAAATGAACCAAACTAATTAATATAATTAATCAAATTTTACTCACTTAAGTATATGTAATACATCTATAAAAAATCCCAAATTAAAAGTTGACATATTGTATTTTAACTCCATGCAGAAGGTTCCGTTAAAGTACAAAAACATGTTAGCTCATGTGTTATAAGCTTAAAATGTAACAACATGTTAGCTAATGTGTATAGAATTTTACGGATCAGTCTATAGTTTTATTTTGTTCAGAAGGCTTTAATGGCTAAGGCTAGCATAAATTATTTATTTTCAAATAAAATTCTAATTTAGAAAATTAAATGGACGACCAATTTGACGTAGACGTTACATTACTGCCAGAAGGCTTTATAATGGCGAAGGTTAGCATAATCACTAACGTAGACGTTACATTACTGTATATACTAAAATAATACTCCTATGTAATTGCTATACAATTATATGAAGAAATAGGAAACAAAATGCCAAAAAACTGTAAAGAAAAAAAAAAACAAACCCAACTGAATTAGGAAGAATTGGTTGCTTTCCCGTACATTTTGAAACCTTATTCAATGTCCTTGACCGGCAAAAGTTAAAACTCTTTCAAACAATTTAACCAATATTAACACTTTTAAGTTTATGATTAGGAAATCAAATACTTAGATTAGTGTCGATACAACCTTGTCGATGGCAAAGTGTTATTGACATTGGTTAAATCTGATGATTCAATTGTTGAATTTGTGACAGATTGTAATTTTAAAACTAATGAAGCTGTAACAAAAAAACCTTTTGGCAGAACAACAAAATTTGTATACATATATAAGTACCCATTATCCAAAGCATGTCCACTCATGCATATTAATTAGTTATTTTACTTTGGTTTGGTCATGAATATTTTACGTCTTAGGTGGTCTTTACATTTTTGTTTACACTCTCTGATTTTGCAACGTTTCTGGTTCAAGACAAAACCTTTAAGATATAATCAAGAAAGAATGTGAAGAACAAATCTCTGATACTAAATGTACAATCTCAACTAAAGCCTCTGAGTTTGAGAGAAAATCAATTTACTTATCATATCAATTTGTTTACAAAATGAGCCTTTTTGTGTGAAGAAAAGATCATAAGATTCAAAGTCTTAAAAGATGAAGAAAGAGATATTACAGAAATATCTATTGGATGAATCAACAAAAATCAGATGCTAGAAGACGAGAAGAGAAACTCAGATAACAGTAGATGTGAACCTCCTTCACCACGACCACGAACAGTACCAAATCTTCAACATCCATGACTTCCGGCGTCTGATATGCAAAACAGCTTCCCCGGATAGTTTCTTCACTTTGAAGAATGCTTCAATTCGCCATGGACTCCGTTTCGATCAAGCTTCTGCACTTCAGCCAACAGTTTCTTCTCTTCGGGGATATTGATCTTCGTCTAGGCCCAGGCCAATGGACCTAGGCCGTGCTCGGCGCAGATCACTTCCCAGAACCTTGGACGGACCTCAGGCATTTTCGGTAGAGGAAACGGATAGAGACGATGCTAGGGTTTTCGCCGTTGTGAGAACTAAGGTTTGCTGAAATGAATAAAAGAGAGTGAGAAGAGAGGATGGGTTTTTATATAACAGAGGTCATGCACATGTTTTATGCTTGTTAACAAAGGAATATAAGAAATAAAAATGAATAAATTTATATGGAATAGAAAAATATGGAATTCCATTCATTTTTAGCATCTTTGAAATGGAAAGATCTTTCAAAAAGATTCATTTTTTTGAATGTCAATGTGGTACAGTGGTTGATGAAATCTTGCGGCTTTTGCATTATTTCATGATGTATTGTAATCTAGATAAGAGATACATAGAGAATGCCTTTCATTCATTTTCTTCTTTATCTATGATAATTTTTGGATTTTCTCTTATTAAAGTAATTCTTCCTATTTTTTCGAGAGATAACATCTTATATAGACAACGCTTGAATATGTTTTATCTCATTTGATTTTACTTTGTGATGCTTCTCTATTTAATCTCCATAGACGTGCAATTTGATTCCTGATTAGAAGCCGACATAGGTTTCGTAGAGACCGAATGTGTATTATGTAAAGTTTCTCTTACAAATTTTTAACGAGATCTTTAGTAAATCGTGTAAATTTTGGTTAACATTATTTGACTCATTTCACATAGTGATCAAGGAAATTTAGGTGCGGATAGATTAAAAGTCTTTTTTTTTTCTGAAGAGATTTTTTTACTATTATATCGCTGTCATATGCTTCTATGTATGAGCCAAGAATGAGTCAAATGTGAATCTCTTCGTCTAACCTCGCCTATTTCATGCATGTTCTTACTCATCCGCCTAGTAACATGCATGAGATTATAGGTCTCCAGTGAAATAGCTAGGTGACTTCATCTTTAATTTCATCTGGGAACTAAGGATGATTATAGACAAAAGTGAACCTCTCCCTCTAACTTCTTCTCCAAACCTTAAATCTACTTTCACACTCCATCTAAGTGTTTTGTATCTAATTCACGCAAAACCTTCACCCTTGTTTCACGTAGCAAGTGCATGGAGTTAAATAATTTTATCTTCCTAAAGGGTGCATCGCCATGTTCTCTATTCTCGCATTCTCCAATGGAATTCATGTACTGACGAATAAAATGTCGGATAGTCATATCTTTTGCTTATACGTTAGAACGATCAAATCATTTCCTTTCAATCTCTCATCAAATAGGTGATTCTCTTATTTTATCTGTGTCAATTCGGGTACATCTAATGTTCTTAAATCTTCTTTTAGCAGAGAAATTAAGACTTTTTTGGGTGAAAAAGATAAGTTATAAACATCAAGGCAATGTTTGGGACTACACATCACACAGAAAGCTTGTGAAACTAATGGAGATCACGTTGAGATACTTGAGATAGTATGAAATGTCAGCTTTTGTGGTCCTTACAGAATTTCCCTTGATTTCAAAGTCTTCAAGGTTGCAATTCAATAATTAATTGAATAAAAATTGTGTTTCTATAGTCTGTCATTTTTTCTCACAGAAGTTACTGTCACATTTAACCTTCTGCAAAAAAAAAAAAAAAAAAAAAAATTACTGTCACATAAATATAGAAAATTAATATGATATATATTTTTTCCCCAACAATACAAAACCACTCCAAAACTAAAATAATAGGGGTTAATTTGATATATATAAACAGTTTCAAAATAATCATCGACTACCATGACAAATTACAGCTTTACGAAATGAACACTTTATATAAATTTTAATGTGACACCAAATCTTTAAAGAAAGGAAATCAAGGGAAGGTCCCTCTGGATATGCCCTCAATTTCTATTTTATCACTGTTTTTAAATAGTTAGATATCTAATTGTGTTTCTCTAAATTGTGCTGTCTAGCAATTGTTAGGGAAAATGGAGTTGCGATTTGCACAATGAGAGATATTGAAGGGAATGCAAATATGATCATGATAAGCTATGGCCGGCGTATATGTCATCACGATGAGATTTTATTCTTGTCAAGGAGTAGAGGCAACCGACGAAAAACATTGAAAGATATGTAGTGCAACTCCTGGACAAAGAGCTCCGCATACTATCATCTTTTAATAGATTGAATGAGAGAGTTGGAACTCGCATTAGTTAGTTGCTTTTTTACTAACAAAAACAATACATACTACTTTATTGGTAAAAAATGATTTAGGGATTTCATGTTTCTGTTTAATGGTTGCATGACTCATTTTTTTTTCATGGTTTAGTATGAGCTGCATGATGTCAACCCTGACTTTTCACTTTATGATGATGACTTGTATTACATGTTGGCAACAAAGATATTTCAAAAAAGTAGAGGAATGACACTCTAGAGAGTTTGTTACACAAATAAAGACTGAAATGCTCACAAAAATTTTGGATGAATTATTTTTTTCATTTAGTTTCTAGCTAACAAAATTATCTACAGTCTAAAAATTTAGTATATGGAAAAAGTGTTTTTTTTTCTTTTTGTCATTTTAATGAATACTTATTAGTTATTTTAAAGTTAATAATCAATGAGAGAGATGCTAGAAAATATTTTGTGTGACCTTTATACAAAATTCTAGTTGTTTTCTTTTTGCTAACAACAAATTTCCAGTTGTTATCATCATGATGCATACTGTCTTCATAGGTATCGATGGATGGTGTTCTTTTTTGCAAAAAAAGTAATTTTTTTTTATTCATTTGAGTAAAGAAAAAGGGACAACTTCTCTATTTTGTTTTCCATTGGTTATCAAAATAAGACTTATTAAACAATTCCAAAAAACCTGTAAATTATTCATAACCACTTATTGGGTCTTGAAGCCCAGTATGGTTAATAACAAATTCATTCTCTAAAAATATATTTCAAAAAGGTAAACGATTGATTGCGTCTGCCGGGAGTCGAACCCGGGTCTATTGCTTGGAAGGCAATTATCCTAACCGTTGAACTACAGACGCTTGATGGCTTTTAAGCAGAGTTTATTTAATTAAGATAATAATGTAAAACAGAAAGTTGCTTGCATATGTCGACGTTGACAGCTACCCAAAACGTCATCGTTTGCATTCTTTACGCTCGTCCGTGTTTTCTTCTTTGACCAAAATTCTGAAGAATTTGTCTTCCGTTAATATTTCTGGAAAAGTATAATATTATTCTATCGAAATCGAAAGCCAACACCTTTCTTCTGGGTTTCGTTTCCTACAAAGAAAAAGTCCTCAAGTCGAGTCGTCGTGTGTGTTCTCATTGCAGCTTATTCCAATTTTTCCGTCGACTTTTTTTTCTGCACGCAATCCAATCGCCGGATATTGAATTCACCTGAATCCCATTTTCAGGTAATTTCTGGATTCCTTTATTTTGTTTGATTCGTCGATGAAATAAGTCGTTTCTTAATATTTGTTGTTCTTAATACGTCACCGGATTGATTTTCATTAGGGCGGAGCATATAGTTGGTGGTGTAATCCAGATTTTTTTCTTTTTTCCCGGCGATTTAGGTGATGTGTTCAACACTCTAGGCGGAGAAATTCGGAGTTAGGTATTGTCTCCGTATAGAGAATTGTTTTTTGTTAGTTTTTCGATTTCGAGAGTGTTGGATCAATGGTTTGAGAAGGTTTAGTGGTGTATCAATGGATGGTGAAGGAACTCTTGTTTCTGTGAAGATGAGATTGTTGGAGATTGATTATAATAATACATTTTGATTTTCCTTTCTTGATAAGTTTAGTAAACTTGTTTGGGAGGGGGGGTTTTAGACATGGATGGAGAAACTACTTCTTGGATCAGGAGGGCGAATTATTCTCACACTGTTTGTTATCGTATGATTACGCCAAGCTTAGAATCTATGCCTTTTACAGTAAACAGAGAGAAGAAGACGACTTCTGGATTGAAACGAACGCCTCTGAGTTCACCATCGGACCTGAAGTCACTTGTAGGAACCTCACAGCAAGCCACAGGTTCTGAAATCCATAGAAACCCTGTGACCAACAAAAAGAGGTCTGCTTCTCCGTCGCCGCAGATGGCTCTTCCTGATTCTTTCAAAGAAGCAAAGTCTGATATCAAGAGATTCTCTACTCCACATCCTAGAAGAATGGAGCCTGATAAAGGGATGAAGACGAAGCTGCCCCGTAAAGACTCATCGGAGAAGATATCGTTCAATCCGCTACGGCCTCTGTCGCACTCGGGTCCTATAAGGGATCTTAGTACGCTGAAGATTCAAGACAGGGCCAAGAGCAAGAAGGAGACGAGGTCTTCAAAGTCTTTTGACTACGGAGGTTCGAGAGTAAGTGCTATGGGAGTGCTTGAAGAACACCTCATTGATACCTCTAAGTTGACCTATGGGGATCAGTTTGCGCATGGGATATATAGCGTACTTTACCATGGAGAATACAAAGGCGAAGCTGTTGCTCTCAAGGTTACAAAAGCGCCTGAGAATAGCGAAGACAAGTTCTTGGGAGCTCGTTTGGAGAAACAGTTTACAAAGGAAGCCACTCTTTTATCTCGACTACGCCATCCAAATGTTGTCAAGGTGATTTATAAATTTTGTGTTATCTTATTCTCGGATTTGCCTTTGGTGTGTTTGATTCTCATTCTCTGATTTGATGATGTTTTAAAACAGTTTGTGGGAGTGGACACTGGGAATTGTATCATCACGGAGTATGTACCTAAAGGGTCTTTAAGATCATACCTGCACAAGCTCGAGCAGAAGTGTCTTCCTCTGCAACAGCTAATTAAGTTTGGTCTAGATATTGCGAGAGGAATGGAATATATTCACTCGAGGAAGATAGTTCATCGGGATCTCAAGCCAGAAAACGTTCTGATTGACAAAGACTTTAACTTGAAGATTGCTGACTTTGGCATAGCGTGCGAGGAGGAGTACTGTGATATCTTGGGGGCTGAGACAGGAACTTATAGGTGGATGGCACCTGAAGTGCTAAGACGGAGACCACACGGACGCAAGACCGATGTTTATAGTTTCGGACTCATTCTATGGGAAATGGTAGCTGGAGCAGTCCCATATGAGGACATGACTCCTGTCCAAGCTGCTTTTGCAGTCATGCACAAGGTAAAGTAATTCTGCAATCTCCTTCTTGTTTCATGATTGTGATCTTGCACAGATCGAAAAGAGTTTGCAATTTTGCTGCTTTATCGCAAAAAGTTATAAAATTTCCGTTGATTTACACAAGTTTGTGTTGATGTTGGTCAGAACATTAGGCCGGTTATACCGAAGGGATGTCCAGAGGCAATGAAAGATCTGATTGAGCAATGTTGGTCGTTGCAATCAGACAAGAGACCAGAGTTCTGGCAGATTGTGAAAGTGTTGGAACAGTTTGAAAAGTCTCTGAGAAACGAAGGGAGGCTCAGTCTCATGCCGAACCAGATCTGTCCAGAGCTAAAGAAAGGTCCTAAATACTGGATTCAGATATTCGGGTCAATCCACCACCATGGCGGCAGCAGCAGCAGCAACACCATAGGCTCAGCCTTACCTAAGCCTAAATTCGCTTAAGAGAGACTGTGTTTAGTCTCATTTTTGTGAATATATAAAAAAAATTGGGTCAGTGGTTATGGTTTTTGTGAATCCACTGTCTCTGTTTGCGTTTTGGTTTTGTTAGGATTCCATTTTAGAGAGCTCGTTTTCTGTTTGGCTTTGTTTCTGATGAAGCCATCTCTATGGATTATCACTTTTATCTTGAGTTTGTGTGAAAATCAGTTTAGTTATCTTATCAATTTGTTTTCAAAATGAGCATTTTTGTGTAATAAAAGATCTTAAGATTCAAGGTCTTAAAAGAAAAAAAGTTTAAAATACGTATTATATATTGTTTTGCAAAGTTTAAAATATGTATTTTATGTTTTTATATGTTTTACGAAGTTTAAAATATACATTTTACAAAATATAGAATTTTGCGTATCATAAATTGAAATAAAAATCATATTAAAATTTCTAAAAGTTAAAAATGAAAAAAAAATTATTAAATATTTTTATAAAACATATTTGAAAATAAAATATCTAACTTAAAACCAATATTAAATTTTTGTTTCTTAATAAATTTTCGTAAAACATATTTTTATTAAATATTTTCGTTTTTAATTTATTTCTCATTCTTAAATAAACTTTATTAAAAATTATATATTACAAAATCCTAATTGTGTATATATTCTAACCTAGAAAAACTTAAAAATGGAGATAATCAAAATAAAACAAATAATTATTATATTTTTTTGTTTTGTTTTGAAATAATTAATTTAATTTCATTAATATTAAAGATAATTCATTTTTTATTTTTCATGAATTTTAAATTATTTTATTACATATTCGCATATATGCAAATCATAATATATATAGTAAATTAGAAGTTTGTTAGTTAACACAAAACTAAATTATTATTAATTACATAATTTACTGTTTTTAGTTATTAAAAGTAAATTATAACTGAAATTAATTTAATGTATATTTTTTCAAGATTTAGAAGTAAATATACTGTTTCACAAATCTATATTAATTTTGTTTTTCAAATTTTTTTTTAAATCTGAAATAACCCCCCTAACACGCAATACTCTAGGCACGAGCGACTTTCCCAGCTGAGTCTTCTTTCTCCTAGGGTTTGGTTTCAGGGAATCCAACCGTCGTATACTCTTCCTCCTTTCGGTTGCGTTCTGATGTCGAAACCAGAATCCCAGATGTCGTCAGACGCCGCGGTTACGATTTCTTCTTTCCATTCACAGTTGGCTAACAAGAATCCACGCCCGCCCCATCAAACGCTCACTCAGTGACGGCGATTTGTCCTCCTTCTCGAAGAAGAAGAAGAAGGCGAAGCATTACGATCCGGACCTCTTTCCGGTGAACCTGCCGCCCATCAGATGTTCAGTCAGCGACGGGGATATCCTCTCGAGGACGAAGAAAGACTCTAAAGATCATAGCCTTTCACTTCTTCCTCCTGCAAATACCGTTACTGCCCCGGTTTTCAATTCCTTCCGTGAGCCTCTAAAACTTTTGTTTTTTTTTTTTTTGTTTTCGTATCCTGTGATCGTTAAGCAATTGGCAAATCCTCAAGCTTTCTGTTTTTTTTTTTTTTTAATATCTTTAGCTAAACCAGACCCCAAAGTTATCCTGGACAAGGCTTGGGGAATGCTAAAGCCAGCTATCCAAAGCATCTTCCTCGATGAGCCAAACGATTTCTGCTATTCTGCGATTTACAATGTTATCTTCTTTCTCCTCTAAACAGTTTGATGATTATTCCGTCTTTTTGGTTCTTATAGCTGTTGTTGGCATCACGCAGGCTGTCTATAAGGCATGGATGATTGACTCAGGAGAAGCCCTTTTCAATCTGGTTCTAGAAGAGTGTGGCACACACATCTCTGCATCCATGGAGTCTCTACGAGGGCACTGCAATGACGATCCCTCGGTTTTCTTGCCGCTACTGGAGAAATGTCGGGTGGAGTATGGCAGCAAGATGCGGCTTCTCTGTAGCATTACCGGAAGCGAACGTTTTAGAGTCGAAGGGAGAGGTTTGTGGGAGTTTGGTCTTGAGCTTTTCACCACGCGTCTCTGCTTGGCCTCTCAAGTTCGTGACAAGGTTACCGCCTACGTTCTAGGAATGATTAGAGATCAGAGGTAACATAATGATTAGAGATTAGTGTTGGATATATATTATATATATACTCAGTCCTTTTTGTCTTTTTCGTTTGCTCATTACCAGATCAGGCAAGTCTGTTGACATAAGTCAGATGAAAAGTGTTATGGATATGTTTAAAGGAGGGAGGGGGGGCTTTCTACAAGTCTCGCATCTTTGAGAAAACTTTTCTTGACTGCGTTGCTGAGTTTTACGCCGCAGACGCAGAGTCAGTGCAAGCCTTGGCGCAATCTGATCTTCCCAAGTACTTGAAGCATGTCGAGGTATATAATTACATTTCTTCTCCCCGTCTTCATGTTCATACGGGGTTTGTTGTTGCTGCATAATAATCCCTGAATAGCTTTACATTTTTTTTATGGTGATTCTTGCAGCGAAGGTTACGTGAGGAGGAGGAGATATGCAACTCCCTCTACTTTTTTTCAAATATCCGCGAAGAGGCGATTGAAATTGTGGAGAGGGAGTTCCTTGGGGTTCGTGCTTCTGCCATTCTTGAAAATCTAAGCTCCTCTTTTCTCTCTCTCTCTGATGCTCACAAAAGTCTCCTAAAGGAAGTAACATTTGGTTGCAGGGTCTTGAGAAAATAATGGAGAAAATTCGTCATCATTCGGATATAACATCAATGGGATGATCTTATAAATGGTTGGGTGAATGGGTGGAAGCAAACAGCTGGACTGAAGTCTCTTTCTACTTGCTCAAGAGATGATCGAAGTAGATGGTTGCGGGATCAATCCTGCTGGACTAAGGTCTCTTTCAGGTTGATCAGTGATGGAATGGATAGATGGTTGACTGATTCCACAGGCAACAATTTATGCTTCTAACTTCCAAGGGCTCATCCTCGCATGGACAGTAAGAAACAACACGAAAACTCAAATGTCTGATTCTACAAAACACTCAAGAACTCGCAAGAATATAAGAGAAGTGATTCCACACAATCTCTAATGAACAAAGTAACAAAGCCTTAGCTTTTTAGAGAGAATTCTCTTTCATTTTCTAAAAATTTCTATATTTTTTTACAACAGAACAATGAGCTTTTATAGCTCTTACAAATGATCTTTACAAATAAGTATACTTAAATAAAATTATTTACATTTAAACAAAAGAAGAAAAATAAGCTAAATCAAATAAAAGTCTTCTTGGCACCAATTTCTCTTTAGACTTAAATGAGAATCCTCTGATTTTGTGAAATGATGAAGGCCAGATTCTTATAATAAATTCACATAATGAAGATATTTAATTTAGTATTTTTCCATATTGTATCATATTCATAGTAAGAATGCTCACTTCTCTCAGGCAACCTTGGTAAGTCAATCAGCTCTATGATGATGTCTTTGATTCTGTGAGCAAAGTTAGTACTTTTCTAAGCGATGCACGTGTGGTTGCAGAAATTTGTGATGTTACTGTATATCACTCGTTGCGGCGACGTTAGTAGGCTGTATGCTCTGTTCACCGAGGCCAACTTAGTAGGTCATCTCAACGAAGCTCCGAGGTCCTACATTTTGAAGACCGGAAGGAACATCTTAGAAGAAGGCTCGTCGTCACTGGCAGAGTTCAAAAAAATCCGTTGATAAGATATGCCATTCCTACTTTCTCGAAGATGATTCGTTGGAGAATACTATACAAGAAGGAACTAGGTTTGCATATAGAAGATGTTTAGTCAGTGGTTATGGTTTTTGTGAATCCTCCGTCTCTGTTTGCGTTTTGTTTTTTTTTAGGATTCCATTTTTTAGAGCTCATTTTCTGTTTGCCTCTGTTTCTGATGAAGCCATCTCTATGGATTATCACTTTTATCTTGAGTTTGTGTGACATTCAATTTAGTTGTCTTATCCAATTTGTTTTCAAAATGAGCCTTTTTATGTGAAGAAAAGACCATAAGATTCAAAGTTTTGTTTTAGAAGATGAAAGCAAAGAGATATTACAGCAAACCATGCCCACAATCTGTTCGACGAAATAATCCTAGTTTTACTAAGAGAGTCGCGAAGAAGCTAGAAGACGGGAAGAAAGACTCAGACACCTGTAGACCCGAAACCTCCTTCACCACGAACAGTAGAGTCCAAATCTTCAACCTCCATGACTTCCGGCGTCACGATCTTCTCGATAATCAGCTGCGCGATTCGATCTCCCATCTTCACCTCGAAATCCGCATCCGAGTGATTGAACAAAATCACACCGACGGGTCCTCTGTAATCGGCGTCGATCACTCCCGCTCCGACGTCGATCGAGTGTTTCCAGGCGAGTCCAGATCTCGGAGCGATTCTCGCGTAGGTTCCTTCGGGGACGGCGACGCTTATATCGGTTGGGATAAGCGCCTTGCCTCTCGCCGGAACTTTCGAATCCACCGCGCTGGAGAGATCGTATCCAGCGGAGAGAGAAGAGCCTCTCGTAGGCAAAACAGCTTTCTCGGAGAGTTTCTTCACTTTGAAGAACGCTTCAGATTCGCCATGGACTACGTTTCGGTCGAGCTTCTGGACTTTAGCCAACGGTTCCTTCACTTCGGGGCTGTTGATCTTCGTCTCGACGCAGGCCATTGTTGGAAATGGATAACGGTGTGTAGTGAATCGCGAGTTCAGGGAGTTGCGGAGGAACCCTAATTTCAATTGAGGTTGATTTGTTGTGATGAAGAGGAGGCGACGAAGTTCCGCCATTAATGTAGACATTCCCTTTGTGAGTGTGTGGCGCCAAACTTTCCCTCCAACCTAAAAACTTGTACAGATCTCTCAATTTCAAGTGGGCTTTGCGACTTCATTTATTTATCGGCCCATTAGCCCATCTGTTCATATTCATTTTCAACAGAAACAAAGAGAAATGGAGATTAGGATTTATCGGTAGGGGTTATGACTGTATATGATCCTCATAAACCCTAATTTCGTTCTTTCTTCCTCGCCAATATTTTTATCTAACGATCGGGCCGCGAGTGACACCGATTCTTGATCTGTGTGACTCACTGATCGATTCCTGAAGGCTCTGTTTTCGTATTGTCATCTCATGTTTTCACTGATACTCCATGGAAGAAGGTCGGTGGAGATGCAGAAATGGCGTAATTTGAGGGTTTCAGCGAAGCTTCTGCAAAATGCATTTGCTTTCTCGAGCTCCTCTGCAAATGCTGGAGACGTGAGCACTCGAGGAAATACATTCACCGTCTCTTATCTCGTTGAATCATTGGGTTTAACAAGGAAACTCGCGGAATCGATCTCGAAGAAAATCAGCTTCGAAGACAAGTTAAACCCAGATTCAGTTCTAAACCTTCTTAGAAGCCATGGTTTCGAAGATTCTCAGATCTCCAAAATCATCAGGACTTACCCACGGTTGCTCGTAGAAGATGCCGAGACAACTCTTCGTCCCAAGCTTCAGGCTCTACTATCCAGAGGAGCTTCAAGCAGTGAGCTCACAGAGATTGTTTCAAAAGTTCCAAAGATCTTGGAGAAGAAAAAGGGAAAATCCATCAGCTTGTACTATGATTCAGTCAGAGACATTATGCAGGAAGGTAAGCTAAGTCATTCTTGCACAGAGGAAGGTAAGCCTGTGAATAGAATCCAAAACATATCGGTTCTGAGGAAATTGGGTGTGCCTCAGAAGCTCTTGTTCTCATTGCTCATCTCCAAATGTCAACCTGTTTGTGGGAAAGAGAAATTCGAAGAAACGCTCAAGAAAGTCATCGACATGGGTTTTGATCCGACCAAGTCACAGTTTGTGGAGGCTCTGCACGTTGTGTACGAGATGAGCGATAAAACGATAGAAGAGAAGGTAAACGTGTACAAAAGGTTAGGCTTTAGTGAGGAAGATGTATGGAAGATTTTCAAGAAGTGGCCTTTCTTTCTGAAATTCTCGGAGAAGAAGATAATGAAGACGTTTGAAACCTTGAAGAACTGTGGTCTGACGGAGGAAGAGGTTCTCTCGGTGCTGAAGTCGCGTCCGCAATGCATACGAGACTCAGAGAAGAAGATACTGGACTCCATTGAAACGTTTGCAGGGTTAGGATTCAGCAGAGATGACTCCAAGATGATGATCAAGCGATTTCCTCAGTGCTTAGGGTATTCCGCAGAGTCAATGGAGAAGAAGTTTGAGTTTTTGGTGAAGAAGATGAATTGGCCACTAGAGACTCTGGTTTCGATCCCTACAGTACTTGGATACAGCCTGGAGAAGAGGACCGTGCCAAGGTGTAACATAATCAAAGCTCTCAGGTCCAAAAGATTGATCGAAAGTATAAACCCTCCAATTTCATCTGTCTTGATATGTACTGATGATGTGTTCTTGAAGAGATACGTGATGAAGCACGTCAAGCTAGTGCCTGAGTTGATGGCGATCTTCACCGAACATCGTATCTCATAGCCTCGTTGGTTGAATCTTTTGATAGACAACGAGGAAGAGTTTAATTTTATAAATGTCCGTGTCTGTGTCTGTGTCTGAGCCGTTTCTACTATACAATCCGATTGGGGAAATAAGATTCACTTTTCATGTTCATTGGTTTTCTCCAATCCAATTTTTACAGTTAAATTGGATTCTAATTAATATTCTGAGGACTTTACCATTTTACACTATTCTATAAAAATGCAATAATAGTCGAGTCTGCAGGAGTTTTAGAGCATTTAATCGACACATCTTTAGGGATAAAACATTTTCTGATTAAGTGAGAAGCGTGTCTCTGGTCAGTGTCATAATCAAAAATCTTACACTCCAGTGACATACAGACTAGCGGCAAAGACGATGTCGCGTTTAATAGCATTTGAAGCCAAATCCATTTTCTTGTGTAACGCAGAGTTTCCCATAATGGCGGCTGCGTTCTTGAACTCACGGCACGTCTCGTCCAATCTCACAATGGTTCTTACTATCAGACCTTCTGGGACATCCGTCAGCTCACATATCTCTGCAAATGGAGTCCCCTGCAAATAATCAAAGCATACAATAATGTTCAATACGATGTGTGAATCACGCAATGTAATAAAAAAGAGAAAGAGAGCTATCTGGTTATACAGACCTTTGCCCACTCATAAACGACTTCGACCAGACCAAATTTGAGATTCTCCTGGGCATATTCTTCCGGGTCTATTTGTAAGTTGTAACGAGCTTGAAGTTCACCAAGTCTGATCGCTGTATCATAGACTCTGTGCAAAAGAGTATGCCAATGATTAAACTGATCATATCAGATCATTATAAGAAGCGAGAGAGTATGTGATCATAACAAACCTTTGTTTAGCCTTAGCAAGCTTGGGAGTAAGTGAAGGAGCCGAAGTGTTTTTCTGTTGGAAGACGAAGGCAGACATTATAGCCACTGCTTCTTCTGGTTCTAACTCTTCGAATTGGTTCTCGAACAGACACACTGTACAAATCAATTCCTCCCCAGAATTCATCTCGCAAGCCACACGTCCTTTGATTTGGACGACGAGGTCATCATCTATGCACCCAATTTTCTTCAGAACATCGATCTGCAATAAGACAGTTTAAAGCTCTACAAGTTACTCAAATTGATCATAAGTACAGATGAAACAAGAGATGCATGTGAAGTTTTCTCATTTGATCGTACCCGGCCCTGAAACGCGGGCATCTGTAATAGGGCTTCATCGGACATTTGGAATTCGAGATCTTTGAGATCCTTCTTATGCTTCCTAATCTCCTTAGCTAGCTTCATGTGTTCTTCCAATTTGACACAACCGTGGCACTTATTCATGGACATCTTTTGTAATAGGCTGGTCCATTTGTAGTAAGTCTCCACAAGCTCAGCATCTTTTAGCTTCAAATCTGAAATAGAATCATGAAAGGAATCTATCTATGAGGAAAATGAATTTTCAGCCAGCAAAAAAAAGAAACGATACAGGGATAGAATTTAGTTGAACAACCTTTAATTGGGTCTAGAGCAGGAGGAAACTTGTTTCCGTCTGATTTCAGATCCAAAAGCTGTTGAACCGTCTGAGAAAAAGCTGTCTTGTTCCCATCCTCGAGTAGACGCACGGGATCAATCTTTATCTTGCTGACGCATATGCACAAGAAATCTTTGTTATCAAACCCTTTAACCTCGTACCCTACACCAGCAGCAGCTCCATGGTACGGGAGCTCTATCTTGACATTACCGGTGCCTTTACGAGAGCTGGCCTTGGAGTAATATTCATCTTCAAAACCACGTTTTGACTTGGGCGCAATGTAAAAGCCTTGAGATGGGTCTAAGCTTTTCTTGCCAATGCTGACCATGTTTTTCTCTGGTGGCGGAATTTCAGATCTTATCACCAATACAACATATTGTCGGCTAGTGCTTGAAGGTCCCTTCAGTACGACTCCAAGTAAATTGTCTATACCCTGCAAAAAAAAATTAAACACATGAGTAACAGATTCATGAACCTGAGAAAAGACACGTGGAGATTGGGCCTCACCGTTTCCGATTTCATGACCACTACTCTTCCTGGTACAAGAAAATTCTGGACATGAGGAGACTGCATGACTGCTTCCGACATTTTGTTGTTACACTCGTCTGCTTCCATATACAACTCATAGTAATCTTCAATGGCCGGTTCACCTTTAATACAGCTGGACGCACAAAGCAATAGGTCAATACATAAATTCATATGGAGGAGCTGAACATAGAGATACCACATGGATACGGTAGAATAAATGGGAGTATACATGTTAAGTTGTTTATCCTTACTCAATAGTTTTGGTTGGTAGAGCACGTTTTACCATGAGAAGCTGTTGTTTCTCAGGCAGTTTCTTCTGGGCATGGAATTCAGCAAAACTTCTTTTCAACATGTCCTCCACCTTACAACAACAACAACCATTTGAAAACTGGCGAGTCAGAAAAGGCCACAGGAAAAGGCTAATGGAGAGGAAATCCATGGGAACTGCAGATATTGAGATACCTTCAGTTCTTCAACACGTAAGAGATGTAGGATCATTATGTAGGTTAGTCGGAACTGAGATTCTAATCTTGTTGCACTTCCCACAACTACACGCCTCAGATCACTCTCGTCAGGAACTTCATCACGACACATGACAACAACTGTGCCAGTTTTGTCAAGTCCCCTTCGGCCAGCACGCCCTGCCATTTGAGTGTACTCTCCAGAAAGCAATTGTCTAAATTCCTTTCCATCAAACTTCCTCAAGGCATCAAAAACTACCTGTAGCGAATATCATGGAAAATTAAGTTATAGGCAAACTTCATAGAGGACATGTGAATACCCACATTTGTTAAAAAGAAATTCCGACGCACTGGAGATTAAAACGTGGAATGACAATATTATATAATACATATGTTGTAAAGAGTAATCCACTTAACATTGTAACACTAAATCTACATTAGCAACAAAATCAGAATAGCCTCACCGTTCTAGCCGGAGCATTAACCCCCATAGCAAATGTCTCCGTTGAAAAGAGCACCTGCAGAGAGATTACAAACAATCGATTACCTGAAGTGGTTCGAAAAAACAACGGAGACGTAGTAATAATAGGACGTCATAACGCAACAATCAGGAGCATAGAAAAATATTAACCACCATTATATCTATGGTGCAGACTCAGATAAAATCACAAGAATTGAGTCCCCGAGTATATAAGCCTACCTTAATAACACCACGGCAAAAGAGCATTTCAACAACTTCCTTTACTATTGGAAGCAGCCCAGCATGATGAACACCGATTCCTCTATGAAGTAGGCTTTGAACTCTGAGAACCTTTAAAATGTGTCACACCCCCAACAGTTCATGAGTACGAAATCAACGTACCTCTCTAGATTTAATACGTGAAAAGTCAGGATATTCTTAAGATAACCAACCTGAGGTAAATTCCGATCAGACCCTTTCAATCTCGAAAAAGCTTTATCGCAGAAGACACGGATTTCACTTTTCTCAGAACTACTAGTGAGGTCAGTCCCAGTCAAAGCATCAGCACACCTATCGCAATAATTCTTCGAGAAACAGAAGACAACCACCTAGTCGGAAACATAAAACTAAAGGGTTAGTCATAAAGACCAGAATGGACTACATATAAGATTGAATATAAACCTCATAACCACAGGGGAAACAAAAGTGAATCTAACATACAGGCAATAGTGACTTTTTGGAGAGCTTGTTGATAAGCAGCAACCAATTTGAAGCTGCTGATCGTCTAAATGTCCCATTGTTCTGGCTGTTACCACCATAAGAGGATTTTCCCAAATCTTTTACACTTGAGTGTTTATTCTGCTTGCCACGAGAAAGTGTCTGAGATTTGTTCCCATCTTGATGAGCTGAAGATCCCGTGTGCTGTTTGGGAGCGACACTAACTGCATTTGAATTCTTCTTCTTGTGTGCATCTTTAGCATCCTTTATCCCTTTAGGAATAAAAACTTCATTCTCACAAACTTTGTAGAATTCTCCGGAATAAAATAGGCAGTGCTCTAGGGGAACCGGTCTTTTTGTCGTGCTGATAGCAAATCCCATAAAATTATGAAATAGTAACTTCAACATAAAGCAATGAATTAAATTCACAATTTTTGTTATCAGGATTCAGCAAGTCTCACCCAGTAACACGTATCTCTTTTTGTTTTGTTCGGCCAATCCAATCAGCAAATTCAAATGTGTTTGGCACCTACAAGAAATTGAAATTTTAGCTATACATGTTCTAAGTTAAGAGGCACATCGAAAAAAAAACAGAATGGAGAAGATCCATGGCCAAAGATTAGGTGCATGGGCATGGCACACACAGTAACATTTCAGAAGAACTAATGTTTTCGAAACGTCTGCAAACATAACAGCATTAAGAAGTACCGTTGCAGAAAGGAGGACAAAGTTTATATGCCTTGGCAACATGATGATGACTTCTTCCCAAACAACTCCTCTCTCTACGTCATTGACATAGTGAACTTCATCAAATATAACCTGCCAGTCAAAGGAACGGGAACAAGGAAACATGATATGAGCACAAAATCAAACTTCAAAGGCTGCTTAGAAATGTAGCGATATGAGCACAAAATCAAACTAAGCAGAAAGTAAAACATCAGAAAGCTCATTTACCCATTCTATATCACGTATGATATCAGCACCGCGGTAAAGCATTGACCTTAATATTTCGGTAGTCATGATCAGACAGGATGCCTCTGGCCTTATGCTAACATCACCTGTGAGAAGTCCTACATCAAACTTCCCACAAAAATCTCTGTATTTTTGGTTGCTGATGGTTTTAATTGGAGCAGTATAAACAGCTCGTGTACAGTGCTGAGCAGACGCAAAAAAATTGGTCAGCCAACATAGCAAAGAATCTAATAAATACGAACATGGTTGGCAAAATTCATAAATATCTACCTTGGTGGCCAAAGCGAATGCATATTCAGCAACAACTGTCTTTCCAGCTGATGTATGGGCTGCTACAAAAACAGACTCTCCCTTTTCTAAACAATGGATGGCCTGTAGGCATAAGCACTCAATTATCTACTGAAAATTCATATATAGAGACAACCAAACACGTTCCTAAAAAACTCAGTTTAAAAAGTCAAAGTAAATACCTCCTTCTGAAAGTTGTCCAACTCGAAAGGAAATTCTATCGCCATGTCAGGAACAAGCTCATAGAAATGGTCTGCAATGTCTTGGCTATCTCCTTTGGTGGCCCATCCCTAAAAGAACAACACACCGCAAATCATGTTAATGGGAGTATAAATAGAATCTCAAAATGCAGAATTCACCTTCTAACCTCTTTCCGTAGTTGTTTATCGTTGTTCCCAGTAACTGCCTCCTCCGCCAATATTGCTGTTTTTGCCGATGACAAAATCTCATCCAGCACAGTGACGTCAGACGCTGTGACCTTGCTGGGTTCACCACTTTTGCTCGCTTCAGGTTCTGCCTTTGGAGACTCAGATCCTGCTGAGCGATCTTCATAATTGTTTTCGTTATCAGAACAAATTTAAATGCAAATGGAGATTATAGGAATAAAGCATAACTGATGTCACACACCATCTTCTTCAAGTTCAGAGAAAGCATCTTCTTCCAAAACCGTCTTGAACAGATCATCAAATTGAATAGACAACTTGGTCTGAAATTATCACAAACACAAAGACAGTGAAAAGAATTTATAACTACAAACAAAATATAAAAAAAATTTCACATATACCAACGACATTGATCTACATACCGACTTTTCATCTGAAGCATTGCCATGTGACCTCTGATCCTCATACACGTTCCATGTTTGGGGATATGGCTTTAAAGTACAAAAAGGAAAACATGCTTGATACAATCAACACTGAATCATACATGAATATAGTAAATGATAAAACTAGATGGTGGTAAGATAAGATACCATCAGATCTCCAAGATCTAAACTCTGCTTGAAGCTAGGAGGAACGGTCTGAGCAGGACCGCCGTTGAGCAGCTCCTGTACCCATTGGCCATTACAAACCCCCTCTGGAAGGATTCTCTCTGAAGACTGTGAATCCTCCAAGCCACCAGGACGGAAAGGGCGATTATTGACACTTCCTCTCAGAAAATCCTTTGGAGGTCCCACCATTCGCGGAAAGAATCCAGAATCTTGATCTCCGTACATTTGTTCTGACAAATCCACCTAAGATAATACGACAATCCATTTCTCCAACTAGAGTCAGAAACAGAAAGCTAACAGCTAGCCATTCTTCAACCAAAATGTTCTAACTCACTGTCTACATAAACTAATTTATTTAAGATGATTCACTTTTTGAAAGAAGAAGAAAGTGAGTTACCTCCACTGATTTTGGTTCCCATGCTCCGTTTTCAGTATCCTTTTTCTGACGCCTGAATGGTAATTCCCAAGTTGGAACTACAACGGACCTGGGCAAAGAGGGTTCAAGGGGCACCTTCACCCTGGCAAACCAATCAAAATCCCACTGGTTCCCAGAATTTTCAGCAGAAAATTGATCAGGTTCCAGTCTCGGGAGGAGATATTTCTCCTCGATATGTTTCTTTATCGATTCTTTCGTTTCCTTGGCGAATGCAGGAGGCTGAGAAATACGCATGTAGGAAAACATTAATGAGCGTCATCAAATCCATATAAAAGTGACTTCTTCTAAGGATGACTTCGTCCCTTAACAGTAGAATACACATGGAACAGCACGTATAAAGACATCCACAACAGATAAGATTATATGGAAAAATAAAGTAGTAACCATTTGAGCAAGAATTTACAACGATTTAACACCACATGAATTTTTTTAGAAATTTGGCTACTTGTGCTTTCTTTCTTCACACATCTTGATACAATACTAGCATATCCACTCTAATCATCAACTAGATAGTCTCATATTGTCACATAAACTTCTTCCATTCGGATTAAGAGCAGCACTAACTATACGCCCAGTAGGAGCAAATACACAAACGAACAAGCTACGCAGTAAACAGCTCAGAAACACATAGTTTTTTTTTTACGAAAATCAACTAATTGAGTTACCAAACGGAACAAATTGCATCATAAATCAGTGCCCAAGCGAACCCAATTTTGAAGAAGTGACCAGATTCTTGCCGCTAAAATTTTCAAAACCCAGAATTCGATAAGTCTCGTAGTCATGGCAATCAGAAAACTTACGGAGACGAAATCGGGAAGAGAGTTCACTGGGTCGTCGCTCTCCACCGTGTACAGAGGCTCGACCCGGAGGTGACCACCATGACCGGAGAATCCGACCCGGAAGGCGAGCTCGTTGCCTGCCTGGACTCTGTTCATTGTGTTTCCTCTATATTCGTTATCTATCTACTTCGCATTCCCTTTTCTCTCCGTCTCGTTCCGTACAGTTCTAACTGGTCAGCGATCGGTTTAGGAAGATCCGGTGAAAGGGAACAACTATGACGCTTCTCGCCGGTTTGAGTTCTGCGGCTCCCGCAACGCCGTGCCGTTTCATAGCTACAAACGAAACAACGTGTGCTGTCTTTATATTTAATGGGCTCTAAAATAAGCCCACGCAAACCCAATTGTGGATGGTCCACATTTTCCTTATTTGAAAAGGAACTATTTCATTATATTTCCTAAGTGAAAGGGAAATAACTATTCCTATATAAAAGGATGTATGTGTGGTGTGGGGGAGACTATCGAGAAACAGAGTTAAAAGATATATTTTGTCCCAGAAAACCTAAAACCCTATAATCCAGAGAGAGGTCTCGTGCGGCAACAGAGTAGAGTCTCTCTTTCTTCAACGTTTAGCTTCCTCGTTGAGAATGGGTTCGTCTGAGAAAAGTTTATCGTGTCCACAACCACAGAAGATCGTGATACCGAACAGCCACAATGAGAATCTCGTTGGTCTGCTCCACGAAACCGGTTCAAGAGAAATCGTGGTCATGTGCCATGGATTCAAATCGGACAAGAACAACACGATCCTGAAGAATGTGGCTGCTGCTCTATTTAACGAAGGAATCAGCGCTTTTCGTTTTGATCTCTCTGGTAACGGAGAGAGTGAAGGAAGTTTCAATTACGGTAACTACAACTACGAAGCTGATGATCTACATTCCGTTGTCCAGCACTTTTCTAACACGAACCGTGTGGTTACTACGATTCTCGGACACAGCAGAGGAGGCAATGTCGTCCTCCTCTACGCCTCCAAGTATGGCGATGGTAGTAACATCCGCAATGTGATCAATATCTCTGGACGTTATGATCTGAAGAAAGGGATACGTCTTGGAGATGGTTATCTCGAAAGAATCAAGCAACAGGGGTTCATCGATGCTAAAGAGGGGAAATCTGAGTTTCGTGTCACTGAGGAGAGCTTAATGGAGAGGCTAAACACTGATATGCATGAAGCTTGTCTCAAGATTCACAAAGAATGCAGAGTCTTGACGGTTCATGGTTCGGATGATAAGGTAGTACCAGTGGAAGATGCGAAGGAGTTTGCAAAGATCTTACCGAACCACAAGCTGGAGATTGTGGAAGGAGCCAATCATGGTTATACTAAACAACAAAGTCAATTGGTTTCAACAGTTATGGAGTTTATAAAGACAGAGGCATTGTGAAGAACAACAACTACTCTTTTTTCATGGAATATGCTTTTTTTATTATTATTATTTCGAACAATTTTGGTATGAATCAGCTATTCATATAAATTTTGGTTTGGCTTTCAGTTCAGAAATTTAGTCCGAAGCTCACTAGCTGTAGAAACAAATAACCACAATTCAGATACAGTGTATGCAAAATAAAATATCCAATCAAGTGTGATCAACAATAACGAGTTAAATTTGGGACAATACATAATCGAATACACCAGTGTCATTCATATTTTATAGAAGTATCGAACCGTTTTATTGAGCAAAATTAACAATATTGCAAACAACAAGATTTATATACGAATAGGTTCATTACTTATTTCATATAGGTTATATTCTTACGAATATCCATATATAAGACATACATCGACTCTGGAGCTGTGTGGATGTGGAGATGCCTTGGTAAGGAAGGTAGGATCTGTGCGAACGGTAGAACAGCTTAGGGAACAGGACAGGCCTCAATGTTCCAAATCTCTTTGGCATACTGAGCTATTGTACGGTCACTGCTGAATTTTCCGGATCCGGCTGTGCTCAATATCGACATCTTCAGCCATTTCTTTCGGTCCCTGTCATGACATTATTCACGTTGAGTATTCACTCAATTCAGAATCTGGAACAAAGAAAACACTTATGAATGGTTAAGTTGGGGTTTAAGAGATGGAACTTACTTGAAAGTTTCCTCAACTTTGCCCTGAGCATCCATGTAGCTCGCGAAGTCATGCCCAACCAGGAAGTAATCACCACGTCCATAACCTGTGTTACCCTCAAGAGAATCCAGGAGCGGACCGTAATCGTAGCTCCCAAACACTCCACTTTTGACAAACTTCTTCACCTCTTCGAACCGAGGATCTGGCTTGAACTGATGAATTTTGCAAACCGGAAAAAATTGTTTCACGAGCATATGATGATTTCATATAAGGGTACTCAAAATTTGTAGAGGGGACAAGGAAAGAGTAACAACATACCCGCCCGTCTTCTCTTTCTTTGCGGAGTCGAGGGACCTGGTCGGCTGTTGCACCAAAGAGAAAGAAGTTTTCTTCGCCAATCTCGTCTCTTATCTCAACATTTGCTCCATCAAGGGTTCCTATGATAAGGCTACCGTTGAGAGCGAATTTCATATTGCTGGTACCACTTGCCTCCATGCCTGCTGTGCTGATGTGCTGAGATAGATCGCATCCGGGTATAAGTATCTCTGCTACAGTGACATTGTAGTTTGGAACAAATACCACCTGTAGAGGCAAATTCGTTAGAACCAGTTACGACTTTTTCAGCCCATGTTCAGAATAATGAAAGGAGTGTTGAGTAGCATTATAGACTAAACCAGAAGAAACCAAAGTTCATCCTGAGAGACGCAAAAATGTGTAATATTGACATTGGCAGATCAACAACAATCTCAGGCACGCAATCATTATCAAGCAAGCAATCATCGTCCTTGGTCACCACTAAGTTCCATGTAAAACGTTTTTAAGAAGACTCAGAAAATGTTACCTTTAGGTATTCGTTGACCTCTGGATCGCTGTTAACAACGTTACCCACATCATTCACTAGCTTCACTATCCGTTTGGCATTTGTATAGGTTGCAAAGGCTTTACCCCCAACCATGACAGTACGAGGAACTGCTTTCTTCCTTTCTTCAGGCTTCATCCCCTGTAACATTCAGTTGCAGAAAAGAAGGTCATGCCTAGTGTATTAGATTTGTCTGCAGTTAAGGCATAAAATTCTGCCAATGAAGCTTTATGAGCTTTGGCTGGAAAATTTTGCCCAAGGAAAGGGATTATCCTGAAGTTTCTTAAACTTTTTGACCTTTCTAAATATCATTAGGCACCATAACTTTTAACGGAATCAAAACGTCATCACTAAGAGGTTAGAATATTGAAAGCCATCCAAAAGAATCAAGAATTATAAGGCCACAACTAAACCCAAATCCAGATGGATGGTTTAGCCAACTATACCTTTAGAGAGATGAAGTCGTATATTACTCCAAGAATGTTCAGAAGCTGCCTCTTGTATTCGTGGATACGCTTAACTTGTATGTCAAACAAGCTGTTTGGATCAATACTTACACCAGTCACACGCTCTATATACTGAGCCAAACGTTGCTTGTTGGCCGCCTTTGCGGAAGCCCACTCAGATTGGAGTTCCTCATTTTCCGCAAACTAGCAGCAGAAAAAGATAAAATCAGAAAAACAAGATTAAACCCCATTGCAGATTTGGTTCTCAAATAAATAAATATCAGACCTGCCGAAGACCCGTTAGTAGGTCAAGATCGGTGATCCATTTGTCAGTCTTCAACCACTTTGTGATTATTTTACTGAGCTCAGGGTTGCAGAAACGAAGCCACCTTCGAGGTGTGATGCCATTAGTCTTGTTTTGAAACTTGTTTGGCCAAATAGAGACATAGTCTCCAAATAACTCAGCCTTTAAGATATCACTGTGTAACTGAGCAACACCATTCACCTGCAAAAGGGCACCCGATGAGCACTTGAAACCAAAAAGGATAAATGGGATTTAGAAACAACATAACAGAGATTTGAAATAAGGCCCACTTACCGTGTGCGAGGATACAACACATAAGTTAGCCATTCTCACAACTGGCTTCTGCGGGTTATTATCTAAGATGCTCAAAGTTGAAAGCTTGTCCTCGAGATCTACACGGGTGTTGCGTATGGTTTGCACAAACTGGAGGAAGGTAACAATCCTATTATGGCAACAGTTAACATAAATAAAATATTTAGAATTATCAGTAAAATACCCTCTTATCGATCTCTTCTATGATCTCCATATGACGAGGAAGAAGCTTCCACATCAAAGATTGTGACCATTTCTCTAAGGCTTCAGGAAGGACGGTGTGATTAGTGTAAGCAACGGTCCTGTGAACTTTACAAGTAAGTCCCCAACGTAAAAGTGGAAAAATATTTGTTGGCAAAGATGAGAGGTTCCATGCATAGATGCAATACCTTGATGTCACATCCCAAGCTTCATCCCATCCAAGTCCATTGTCATCCATTAGCAATCGCATGAGCTCAGGGATTGCAAGAGTTGGGTGTGTGTCATTCATTTGAACAGCAACTTTACTTGGAAACTCTGACCATTTCCGGCTGCCTTCACCGGTGTTCCTCTCGTTAAATCTTGATATAATATCCTGCAATAGGTTTATGAAGAGGAGGTATTAATATAATGAATCGATAGCAAGGAATTATGTTAGTGAACTTGTAATTGTAGTTTATTGAAAATATAGTCCAGTTAATATGCCAACTTGCAATGTTTAAGAATTTCATTTCAACCATTATGAACTGTTTACGACCCCTAATGACATCCAACAAACCATCAGAGAATACTCAGTTGATCCAATACATTATGGTTTCACAAGAAAATGGAAGGAACCTACAACCAAATTGACAAACCTGAAGCGAAGCACTGCAGAGAAAGAACTGCTGTTTCAATCGCAATAGCTTCCCATTCTCGGTAGCATCTCCTGGATATAAGACAGTGCAAATCTGCATACAAAGAAATTTCATTGTTAAAAAGGAACAAAAAAGCCACAAAACAATAAAAAAAGAGGTGGAGCTTTGTGTAGAGATGAGAAGTTTATAACCTGTTGAGCTCGGGAATCTAGCTGCGCAGCCAATTCATACTCTCCTTCGTTGAACCGAAAAAGGTCAAGATCCTCCGCTCTAGCTTTTGCTTCCCAAAGGCGGAGACTGATTGTGTTCTTTGTTTTATATCCTGGGATTGGCACATCATAAGCAAGAGCTTGTACAACATCGCCGCCTACCCACTTCCGTCTGCAAATTGGTCAATTGATCCATTGAAATGCTTAGTATCAAGCTCAGTGAAAAGCTAGAGAACACAAAGCTAAACTCACTAGTACATGCATATGTTTAGTAATGTAAGTTCCGACGCTTATACTTACGATCCATCTGGATTTATCTGCACACTGCCGAAAAATCTGACAGGGAACATTACATCATGCCTGGCAATTTCCCACGGGCTGAACTTCTGCAAGTTCCCATTAAAATAGGGTGAGTTACAGTCTCAGAAAATGATCTACTGAAACCACTACACAGATAATCCTCACCTCAAGCCAGTCCTCTGCAACCTCTTCTTGACCATTCTTTGTGATTAGTTGCTTAAAAAGGCCATGTCTGTACCTCAACCCGTAACCCCAAGCAGGCAAATTTAGGGTGGCCATCGAATCTAAGAAGCACGAGGCGAGTCTGCCCAAACCACCATTTCCCAGAGCTGCATCTTTCTCCTAGAATCACCATACCATAAAAGCATAAACATCTCCAAGTGTGATAACCAAAATGAATTAATCAGCGTCTCAAGTCTTCAAAGAAGCAAAATGGTAACTTAAAAGTACCTGCTCGGCTATCTCCTCAAGCTCATAACCCAGAGTACGTAGTGCATCAGCATATGGACCTTGAAGGTCCAAATTTCCAATAGCGTTAGTCAAAGCACGACCTTGGAGATACTCCATTGACAAGTAGTATGTTTGTTTTGGATCAACTTTGTTAAAATGGAGATAAGTCTCATTCCACAGCTGCAAAAAAAACAATACACAATCCACCTTATCCTCATGTTCATATCACACGCACACACACAGATACAACTATATGTGTTTGTTTCGGATAAACTTTGTTAAAATGAAGATAAGTCTCATTCCACAGCTGCAAAAAACAAAACATCCTCATGTTCATATCACACGTACACACACACAAATACAATTATATGTGTTTGTTGCGGATAAACTTTGTGAAAATGAAGATATCTCAAGCAGCCGCAAAATCCAACGACATGTTCATACACCCAAATCTACTTCAGTTTGATATTCTCTCGAAATCGTCTTTATCGAACGAAATTCTACGGAAAAAGATCCAAGAAAACACTGATGATACCTGAATGAGACGATCGCGAAGGCTCTCTGCTGTGGCGTAGAGAGCTTGCTCAGGCCCGAACTTCAATGGAGAGAAATGCGGACTGTACTTGGCGTGGTAGATGATATTCCCGGCGATATCCGTAGCTTCATTGGCCTCCGGGTTCGCCTTCGCCGAGACTTTCTCCGGAAAACCAGTCGCAGCCTTCTTATTGTCGTTTGCCATCGCTTAACTCCCTGAAACAACGATTGTATTAGAATTTGCTTCACGCCTTCACACAAATAAAATCCAAAATTATAGTGTACACAATTTCACAAAATTAATTCCCCAATAAAAGCGAACAATCATGAAGAAGTTATCAGAAATAGAAAACCCGAGGAAAAGAGATTTAGTCACAAATCGGAGAAGAAGCTTAAGCCAGGAACTATGATCAAGCGAGGAACAAGTAGAGAAGAAACAAGATCATCGAGCCATTACCAAATTTCGAAACCAGAATTTGGAAAGAGATGAACGGACACTTGAGAGCTTATTATGGAGAATCTACTGAAGAAGGAAAAGGATATACTAAAAAGGAACGGTGGAAGATTTTTGACAAGGTAAATGACAGAAACGTAATTTTCGTTGCTTTTTAAAAAAATACTTCTCTGTTTTTGTTTGGGAAGATTTGATTTTTATTTTCCAGAAAGGATCGGAAGGATTGAAAGTGTGAGGATCACAGGGAAAGAGAGAGTGAAGTGGAGTTTTTATTGCTCCGAAGAACTTTTGTATCGTTACTGAAAAATATCTTAATAGGAGGGCCCATATCTATTTGTTTTTTAGTTAGCCACACCCTTAAATATTATTTTCTTATAAAGAACACCCTTGTATTTCTACTGGGGACCATGGATCATTTTCTAAGAACTTTTAATAAAAAAATTAAATATTGAAACTGTTATAATAAGTATGATTTAGGGTATAGATAAATATAAATAAATAAAAAATACTGATAATAAGATAGAGATAGAAGCTTGAACGTCTCTTTATATTGAGAAAAAGGGTTGTGTACAAATGATCGAAATGATCATTCTATTTATAGATGATAAAAAATGATTTTACTGTGTATGCACAGTAATGATAGGCTCTACAATTTATTCACGTTTGATATGCATCTATTATTGACATTTCAATATTTTAATGTTGTTGTTTTTTGACTTTCGTAACAGAAAACAACGTATTTCTAACCTTCAATAAAATCAAAATAAGAAAAGACACTTACGCAATTCCATTGAACAAACCAACAACAAGGTGTAAGTGAGAAGAAAAGAGATCATTCAAGAAGTGAGATTCTGGAATGTTAAAAAATTCAACATTTTTGCAACGATTGAAATTGGTAAAAGCCAGACGTAGTGGCTCGCTTACGTCTCGATACGGTAATGAAAGGACTAAAGTTGAAAGATATCATATTCACATGCCTGAGGTACGCAAATAACGAAGTAGAGAAAGTGCGCGCACCTCAAGTGTACGCAAATCACGGATCTACTGAGACACCTGCACCTTCACTTTTCTCTTCTTCCCGTGCCCTTTAGCTATTGATTCAGTTTCTCCGACGTCTGTAAATATTTATTGGTCGTAACTCGTAACCATCTTAGATGTTCTCGCAAGCTTCCATTGCCAACTTACACACACCTTCATTACTATGTTACATAACTACTTGCACTAAACAACGCACAGTGCTTAATCTTTGATAGTGGATAAGCACCGTTGTTTAGTACTAGTTATGTAACATTGTAATGAAGGTGACTGAAGGAAGTGGTAAATAGTAGTTAAGCACAAAGTACTTCTTTCACTTTTGTCAAAGGCGTTTGTTTTATTCGTGAGCATTGAAACATGGCAAATTTGGTCCATTTTATTTAGCAAGGAGAGAGCCAGAAGAAAAGAAAAAGGTAGAGAGATATTTTCTAGTTTCTATACAAGGCCGATGCAGATTTTTCCTGATATTTACTCTATTTAGAGTCGCAGCTTCTATACTTGGCTGTTCCACTCATCATTTGTGGTCCTTCAAGCTGCTAAGAAGACCAATATTTGCTACTATCATTACAATGTTGCAAAATGCATGAAACAGAACACGAAGAGTAAAACAATACAACCCCGGAGAGTAAGAGATCGGGACGCACCTGTTGTGTCAAAATCGACTCTTTCTCCAGTTGAATATACGTTGAAAAAGAGAGCAGAGAGTAGGTACAAAATTGCAGTGAGAAGGATGAATCCTTGGAAGGAGCCCAATAGTTCTACAAAGAAACCAGCTCCAACTGTACCAACTATTGCAGCCAAAGTCCCAGCAGTCAGACACATTCCTGAAACAAGTCGGATACAGTCAGAAAGTTAAAAAAAATTGATCGATTCTATGGCCAAATTCCTTCTCAGATGGTACAAATTAGCTACAGCCGTTTCATGAGCTCTGGAAACTTAGAAAGTGTACCATGTAGAACACCGGAATATTCTGGAGCGATTTCCTGAAACAAGGAGGAAATAAATGTTAGAGGAACTCAAGGTTTGTAGATTAAAGAATGAATCACACGCTTTGTTACCTGAAGATTGATAAGAAAACCCAAGTGGCTGAATGATTTAAGCCCAACGGCTAAACTTAGCCACGCAGATGCTATTAAAGGCCGTTTTGCTGTGGTTAGACCAATGAGAGCAATCCCAGGACCAATAAAACCAATGGACTGCCAAAACAAGGAATGAAATCCCCCAGTCAGCACACAAAAAAAAAAGGAAAAAGAAAGCTAAATGCATCAGACTTCAACACAATTCTCATATGTATACAGAACTCTCGTGACACAGAAAATCGCATACCTGCATGATTTTTCGCGTTACGGTGATGCTTGTACCACGCCGTATCAACAAGTCCGACCAAAAGCCAGCAATGTATCCTGTGAAAGCCATCATACTCCACGGAACGGCACTAAACCAAGCAGCTTGTTTGAGGTTCACATGATACACCTGCAACGCAGTATCACTTGTGAAGACTAGAAACCCCAACAATATATTTACAATTTTGTTGGTGCTACGGCCTTACTGAATTGAAGTAGATCGGCATCCATGAAAGAAGCACAAAGAAACCCTGTAAGCAAGCCATTTTAAAGTCAGTTACATAGTTACATGACCTTCACTTCTACAAGAAAAATCAAAATATATAGTTGAATTGAGATGAATCCATATACATACCCAGCTATGCATGGAATTTGCAACTATAACAGCCCAAGTAGGCATCTTGGAGAGTAGGCGTCTAAAAGGAGGTATTACGCTTGTGGTGTTTCGTCTGTTCTCCCTAGTAGATGCTCGCCGCTTCTGGTTAATGTACTCGAGCTCAGACTTTGTAATCTGAGGATGCCGATCTGGCGTACTCGACGTAGCAGATAGCCAAACGAGCATCCACAAGAACCCTGATAACCCAAAAATCACAAATGGGCCATAGATACCGCCTTGAGACATCAGAATAGGAGACAGCAGGAGTCCAACTACATTCCCAAGCTGAAACCCCGCCATTGCAATGCCTACAGCCCTAGAACGTTCTGTTGGGGGAAACCATCTACAACACAAATGTACTATCACTATGAACTCAATACATTCCAGTAACTACAGTCTGACTCCTACTGAGAAACAAAAGATCACTACCTCGCAACCATGTTGTTCATACAAGGAAGAGCCACTCCTTCAGCAACACCAACCATAGCTCTTGCAGCAAGCAGAGCCCACAGAGAAGTATCAGCAGCCCAAGGGGTAAGGAATGTAGCCAACGACCACAAAGCCACTCCCCACGTCATGACTACCTTACCGCCATAACGGTCCACCAAAGTTCCGCCGGCTATTGGTGAAATTAGGTATCCCCATAGGAACGATGACTACCAGAGAAGCATTCGATAAAATATAAAAATGGTGACACTTAGAAGGACTTTTTGATACTTTGCTTAGCCATTCAACCAATGAGTGTTTCAATTGTGGAAAGAAAAAGTTCGAATTTTTATGTTTTGAAGAATAACCTGAACGATACCGGAAAACGACTTGCTCCATCCACGAGAAAGCGAAAGAGGCACAATCGCGACGGACATCACAACGCGGTCCGCATTGCATAGCGCCAGGGCAAGCGCGAGCATCGCGACCACTTTAACCCTCTCCGACGTTATAAATTCCGAAAAATCAGGTCGCGCCGTCAATTCCACCGCCGTCTCTTTCGCGTCGTGCCGATCGTCCGGCATACGGCGAGCATCGCTGCAGGACACTCTTGATCGATGACGCGGAATACCGCGTAGCTTAACGGAAATGTTTCCGTCGAATCTCGACGAGCCTACGCCGCTCCCGTGGCAGAGGTACAACTTTCTCCGACGATCTCGCTCTGGCAACGACGGAAACCCCAAAGTAGCTAAGCTTGAAGAAAAAATTGCTCGATTTCCATGGACATTGAGAGCGTTGCGGTTGTGGAAGTCGATTGACGATTGTAAAGAGAGAGAGTAACACATTTTCACCTATAGGAGCTGCTTCGTGCTTAGTCCGGTAAGTGAAGAAGACGAATAAGATGCTCTCTGTGACTGTCTACGGAGGATTGCTACAGCCAAATCGCGCGATGCGTGGGAGTGGCACATCCGTAATTAGACAGCGCAAATAATTATGTTATCGTCTTGGGCCCACTGATATTTTAACAGGCCCATATGTACCCTTTTATTATGTGGGCTAATTAGCAAGACTAATGAGAATATTGCTTATTTAAAAATAAACTTTTTTGAATTAAGGTATTTAGCTCAAAATCAGTGATTCCATATTAGCTAAGTAGAAAAGTGATCTGAGTTTTGTTATTCAGTTACCTGAATTTTTTATATATGAAAACAGAAACTCAAACCAAGTAAGTAACCCTTGATTTCCGTCAAAATCTTTTAAAATGGAAATTATTAGTTGGATTCATAAATTTCATAAACTAAAATCTTTAGACTTAAAATCGTGTTGTTTAAACAAATTTATTTTGTTTTCGCAGCGTTTGTAGTATTTTTAATTTTACATTTACCAGTAATTATTATGACATTATTATATATGCCTTGAGTGAAAAAAAAGAGGAGAAAATTGACTGTCACTGTCACTGTATCTGGAAGGAACACGTGGGAGATTCCAATCTTTATCAGAAAATGAGAACAATTACAGTAAATCTGTATATGTCGACAAAAAGAAAAAGGTACTCATTAATACTAAATTTGTACTAATAGCATAAACACTGTTTGTCTTCGGGAGTTACTATGAACTTTGAAGAACACATCTGTTCTCTTGGGGAACTTGTCGTAACTCCGAATCTCTATGTTACTCGTGCTGTCCACTTTACTTGCCATCGTAGTCTCGATAGATTCCTTCAAAATTCGTTATTAATCTTTTAAAGTATTTTGTCGCACCTACATTACATATTTGCATATCTATTGACTAATATATTATGTACTTAAAAATCTTTTATTGTAAATTTGTAATGGATATAACTAAACGCGATTAGGAATATATTAATCTTCGATCAGAGTAATTAGTTTTAACATATCTAACCTGTTTCTCTTGGATTGGTTTATAAGCTTGCACAATCATCGAATTACGAAAACAAACATTTCACTAAAGATTAACTATGAAGTATAAAAAGTTGACTTTGACCTATTGATTTGGAAGGGAATCCAAAGAGTTGACACTGAACAGAAGCTGTCAGATATCGTCGGTCCCGTTCCGATGATATCTCGTAAACTTCGTAGTTTTTCTACATAATTAGCTTAATTTACGGTCCCTTAAAATTTTCAGATCTAAAATAAAAGTGAATTTAACTAGTCTTCTCTTCAACATAACATCGCTGTGTTTAATAAGGACAGGTCATTCGAAATTCTAGTTGTTTACATATATTTATATCAAGATGAATCTAATAAAATTGTTTTCTTTCTGCCAACGTATTAGAAGAACAAAAGGTATCAGGTTAGAAAATGGGTTATAGTTTAGGTTAGTGGAAAAAATAATGAAAAATGGGTTTAAGGAAGTGAATTTCCATATTTGACCCTACAGTCTACACTCTACACTCTACAGTCTACACTATTACAGAAATACTGAAAACAGACTGACCCCATCAACTACACTATCTAAGTCACCGCCGCAGCGATCGACGAACCTCCTTTAAGCCCATGGCCCACTTTAAGCAAACCAATCGCCGTCGTTCTTCCTCCTTCTGCCACCGTCATCCCTCCGTTAAATCATCAAGCGGTTTCTGCGCCTCCTGCCTCCGCGAACGTCTCGTCACCATAGAGGCTCAGTCTTCTTCACCCGCAGCCATTCAGACCCCTGAGCTCCGCCGCATTCGATCTTACTCCGTTCGCAATGCATCCGCCGCATCCGTCTGGGAGCAGCCGCGTCGGAGATCGTGTGACGCTAGGTCAAGCGCGAGCTCTCTCCACGACCTGTTTGTCGATGATGACGAAGAACGTCTTGATAGCTCGATTCGGAAGCCTCTGGTCCCCGATTTGAAAGAGGAGGAGGAAGAAGAGGAAGATTTCTACGACGGAGAAGATATCAAGGGTTTTGATGATGGGAAACCGAGGAAGATCGTGGAAGAAGAAATCGACAATGGAGAAAATGGAGAGAACAAGACGATGAAGGAGTTTATAGATCTGGATTGGGGAAACCAAATTAAGAAGAAGAACAACAAAGATTTGAAGGAAATCGCGTCGGTTTTTAGCCGGACACTAAAGAAGTTTGCACTGAATCATCAAAAGAACCGGAGAGAAGAAGACGAGAAATCAGATGCCAGATTCGCCGGAAATGTGATTGGTCGTCACTCGTGTGATATAGATCCTAGATTGTCTCTCGACGGAGGTAGGGTCTCGTTTGAGAAACCCAGGGCTTCATGGGATGGATGCTTGATAGAGAAATCATATAACAAGCTGACGCCGTTGTCCACTGTGACGGAAGATGCTAAAAATTTCCCGGCGAAGAAATCAGGCGGTGAAGACGAAGAAGAGGAAAAGAGCCCTGGAGGGACAGTTCAGACGCGGAACTTTTACTCGGATTCTCGTCGAAGAAGACAAGGATTGCTCGAAATTGACGAATTGAAAGCTATCTCGAACGCGAAGGTATCACCTGAAACCGTTGGTTTGTTTCATGGCGCAAAGTTATTGGTTACAGAGAAGGAACTTAGGGATTCAAACTGGTATTCGATCGAAAACCACAAATCGGAGAGCGTAGAGTTAGTCTCTAAAGGCAAGATTTGTGTAGCTTCTGGTGAGAGGAAGCAGGATGGTGTAGAGTTGAAGAAACCTAGAAAGAAATGGCCAAAGGGATGGAACCTTTGGGGATTGATACAGAGGAGAAACGAGACCAAGAACGAAGTTAAAACCGAGCAAAGTTTGAAACTCGAAGGGAATGCCATCGAAGGTTCTTTGGCTGAGTCTCTGTTAAAGCTTAGGAGAGTCTCTAAAGGAGAAACCAATGGTAATGTTAGTGAGAAGCTGTTGAAAAGCTACAGCGTAAGCGCGAGAAAGTCTTGCGATGGTTTGTTTAGCGGTGCTAACATTGTTGGTGGAAGAAACTCGTGTGATGGTCTGTTTCATGGATCTATTAACATTGTTGAGGTTGGGAGAAGCTCGTGTGACGGAGTTGTTAATGGCGTTGAGATCAAACAGAATCATCTTCACCAGAGAAAAGCAAATGATGGTACGTACGCACGAGAAAACCTCGACAACAGTTTGTTTAGATTCTATTTGACTCCGGTAAGGAGCCATAAGACTAGCAAATCCGGTAAGAGTAGGCTGATGAGTTAGTTTAAATCTGAGATTGTGTTAACTCATGAATACACTCTGTTGTAATTAGCGACTAATGTATTTGTTACTCTGGTCAATAAGATCATATTGCCATCATGTTCATACAGTTTTAAGGGTTATCTTATGTAGAATTAGTTTCAGCTGACAATTTTGGTTTGGATCCATAAATCAAGAACTCTACTTTGTTGTTTAGATCTGTTCTGGACACAAACTGGTTTATCTTGTTTCTGTTCCGTGATACTAATAGCAAATCAACCGAACAATTATTTTATAATTGTTTGCTTATACAAATACAACATTGCTGCCTGTAATACATTAGATACATACGTCCCTGTAACTCAATCAGACCGGTGAAGTTACACCGGTTTTGAATTGAGACCGAAACCAACAGGGAACAATGGGTCATACGAATTGGCATTAGCGTTAAGTGGCAAATGCTCAAGGGTTTTGAACCAGCTCACTGGTAACTTCCCCTCGAAGTCATAATCTCCAAAAATGACGTCAGCCATTCCTTGTCCTTCTGTTCCAGGCAGCCAAGCAGCTACTAGAGCCTCCGTCTTTTCAAGAACCGCCGGCTCAAGAACCACAGGTCGTCCTGAGATCAAGATCATCAGAGTCGGGATTCTCTCGGCAACCGCAGTTACAATGTCGCTACCCTTAAACGGTATTACGAGTTCCGTGTTGTCGCCGATAGTCTCTGCATATGGCGATTCTCCAACTGCAACAATGGCGTAAGAGAATCCTTCACTTGATTCTAAGGTTTCCTTTGATGGAGTTTTCTCGTAGATTACTTCGGTTTTGTCTCCAACTGTTGCTTTAATGGCATCCAAAAGTGTTGTGCCTACACAAATCAGACAAAGATAGATACATACCGATTAACTTTTCGACAGCATCTCTAGTCTCTTTCCAAACCATATAGCAATCTCTTTAATTACCGATTGTGATCCTGCCGCTTAGACCGAACCAAGTCTTTGTCCATCCTCCGCACTGATATCCAAGATCATCTGCGTGCGTTCCAGTGACTAGAATTCTCTTGGCGTTGCGATCTAGTGGCAGAAACGGTTTATCAGCAGTTTCCCCATTCTTTAGCAGAACTAGCGACTTTCTAACTGCTTCACGCCCGAGTTCTCTATGTTTCTGCAGGCATAGAAACAGAGTCAATAATGCTCTCATACATCTGTACTTGGTACGTACAAGAGACCTCACCTTGCAGCCAACAGTTCCCAACAAAGATCTGTCAGACAGAGGATGTTCGAAGAGGCCAGCGATAAACTTCACTCTGAGAATTCTTTCAACAGCATCGTTGACCCGAGCCAATGGTATTTCCCCTGACTCCACCAGATTTATCATGTCTCTTATGAACAGTTCGTAGTTAAATGGTACCATCACCTGCAATAACATTGATTAACATAATATTCGCTCCTTTAATCACCCGAGACAATGAAAATCATTTGCTAAGCGAAAATGTTTCGGACATGGGTTTCAAACTCTACCATGTCAATTCCAGCATTAATCGCAGTTTTAACGCAGCTGCGGTAGTTTGATCCCATAGGCTCACTAAGACGGTCCAAACCTTCCCAGTCGGAAACTATAAATCCCTGGTAACATAAACGAGGAAACTAAACTTAGCATCAACCTCTAAGCTTATTTAGATTTTTCATTACTCACAATTCAAAATAATAAGTTACACCAACCTTAAAACCGAGTTTTTCCTTGAGAACTTCTGTTAAGAGGAAATAATTGGCGTGAAGTCTACTTCCGTCCCAACTGGAGTAAGACGCCATAACCGTGGAGACTCCCTGAGCAAGACACTTAAGATATGGAGGAATGTGTATCTTCTCCAAGTCTTGATATGACGCAATGGTGTTCCCTTCGTTTATGCCTTTGTCTGTACCACCATCTCCAACAAAGTGTTTAGCGCACGCGACGACGTTGTTGCTAACACCAAGTAAACATTCATGTCAACAAAACTATTAAAAGATACAAATCATTTCATAGAATCATACTGTAGTGATTCATTTGATACCTTCCAGCAACAAAAGGGTAACCATTTGGGTGTTCTTCAGGTGGCTCGCCTTGTAGTCCTGTCACAAGCGAAGTCATCTCACAGACAAGTCCAGCGTCTTCTCCATAACACTCATAGCTTCGTCCCCATCTCGGATCTCCCAATACCTGTCAAAAAGACAAAAGAACAACTTTCCACTTCAGTATTAACAAATCATTATGTTTCAATATTCGTTGTTAGATTTACGTCTACAAAAGCTACTCACGGCCACGCAGGGAGCAAACGCCCAGTGAGCACCGCACGCTCTTACTTCAAGAGCTGTTGCAGCGCCGATTCTTCTCACCAAATCCGCATCTCTACAGAGTCACCACAAGAACTTGTATTTATCACATTAATAGCAGTCAAAACACAGCATGGCTACGACAGATGCATCGATCTTGAACACAATTCAGATTCTAATCACAGACATTGCAATAATACTGATACCTTGTGATCAGAATTTCAAACTAGATCCATATCAGGTAAGTCGATTCACAGTGAAAGAGAATGGTGATCGGGGAAAAAACCTGGTGGCTCCGAGGCCGATGTTGTGGGGGAAGACGGTGGCGCCGAAGACGTTGTTGTTGCCGTGGACAGCGTCTGTGCCGTAGATCATCGGAATCCCCAAACGCGACGCTAACGCTGATCGCTGAAAGCCATCGATCATATCAGCCCAATCCGAGGACTTCGCGTCCTTGAAAGGCGCACTCCCGCCGGAGTTTAGTATACTTCCTGTAACCCCAAATCCATAAATTGTGTACTAATTTTAGAAAGATATATAGAAGAAAAGGGAGAGAAATCTGACATTATATTCCAATCGAAATAAAAAAAGAAGCTTAGTTGCAATTTAATCCATTTTCAAATTTAATTTTGATGTTACCAAAGTTTAAAAAGAAGAAGAAGAGGAAGAGAGAAATGGTGTGTGGTTGTGTGTAGTACCGATGAAGAAATCTGTAATGGCGGCTGGAGAAGCGACGGTGCGTTCGATCTGAGTCATCTGGCCAATCTTCTCCGGCAGAGTCATGCGAGAGAGAAGGTCCTTCACACGCGCCTCCACCGGCGCGTGTGGGTTCTGGTAAACGCATGACGATTCCTTTCCTACCATTTATTTTCTTTCTTGAGTCTCTTCTTCTCTCTCACGAAGTTACGCTACTTCTCTATATTCTAGCCAAGACGGAGAAGTGACGTGGCACACTTATTTCCACACTTTAGATGCTTAATTAATTGATTAAAATTAATTTGTAAACTTTTGCTTAACTAAACTAAACGTGTCAGGTTGTACTCTAGACTTTCTAGTAGTTTGTCCCATGTTTGATTGTGTCCTTTTCTTCATAAATTAAACTTCACGTTCAACTTAATAAAGTTTCTTTCGTCGAAAAGAAAAAAAAAATTAAACGTCTCGCGTTAAAAGAAAGAAAAACAATCCGATTGGTAACACAATAAAACAGTAGAATTGCAGAAAAAATTAATCAGTGAAATGGCGGAATGCAGAATAGCAGAATAATTATTTTTGATATGATTGGATAAATTATGTAGAATGGCGGAATGGTAGAATGACATAAAATATACAAAATTAATTTTTCATAATAATATATTTTATATATAATTTGTTATAATAAAAATTAAAATATTAATTTTTATAAAAACATAATTTTAATATAATTAGAAAAAATTAAAACTTTTATTGTAATTTTTTTTTATTTACTATAATATATATATATATATTGCAAAATTTAATCTACATATCGATCATTATATAAATATATGTAGTATAAATATATTTATTTAAAATATATTTTGTTATATAATTGAATGATATCCTCTATCTATTAATTGACAATGTAGTTTCATGAAATATGCTGATTTGTTTTAATTTTATTGGTTAAAAACATCAATCTAACCTAATTAAATGTGACATGAAAATGATAATGTGTAATGATGATATAATTGTGACAGACATTTGCTAACACATGTGGATTATGACATGACAAAATCTTTTTTTTGTGTTTAATTTTATTTAGTTCAAACAATTATTTTATGAAAACTGAAAAATATAAAATATTTAATTATTAATATACTTTGTAAACTGTCATTTTTTATCACATGCACAAAACATATGTTATATTTTTTATTATATACAAATATATGTATATGTTAAATTGTATAAAATTTATATCTTCATCATATGCACCGACTATATAATCTAAAATAACATTAATCTAATAATGTTTAACTAAAGAATCCATTTTTGTTGTCCATACAAAACAGAAGATAAACAAATATACAAAGAGAAATTAGAGTATACTACATTTTGTTAACCGAAGTATGATTATCTACTTTTAACAGTCTTCTTGAGATTGTCTTTCCGCAATATAATCCAAAGCAACATTAATTGTATCATCAAATTGTATAAAAATTATGAGAATTGTCTTCATCACATGCACCGACTATATAATCCAAAGTAACATTAATCTAACAATGTTTAACTAAAGAGTCTATTTTTGTTGTCCACACGAAACATAAACTAAACAAATATACAAAGAGAAGTTGGAATATATATATATATATATATATATATATATATATCAGTTCAAATAATTTTATGTGTTTAATTTATTTTAGTTCAAATATTTGTTGTATACAAAGAAGTCTTCGAGAATTTAGAGGCTAAATAATTGGATAAATTGAGGAAGATTAATTGAAGACAAATAAGATGATGAAATTTGCAGGTATGTATGCCTGATCCGCAAATCCACAGCAGGTAACCCGTTCAACCAGCTATCCACGGGTCTGACCTATTTGGCTCCTTAACATAATAAAATAAGTCTTTTGTTATAATAAAATGTTTAGTTAAAATTATATCATATTTAGTTAAAACTGTTTATGCCTGCACGTGCGTGCGGGCCAAACTCCTAGTAAAATATTGATTCCACAAATAAGTTACTTGAAACACACTTTTCCACTTAATCAATTTTTTTTGTATTTTCTATAAGTATTTCTGCCATTCTACAGAACTCGAATTTTGACATTTTTTCGCAAGTTTTGTTTATTGGCAAAATTCTTGCAGAATCGCGTTTTTCCGTCATTCCACCATTCCACAAAATTTACCAATCCCAGACGAAGTCTACTTTCTCTACTGAAAAAATTCCTACTTTCTCTACTGAAAAAATTAGAGAATAGTCCCCACATTATTACATTTCATTTGTTTTCACCCGATCCTTTTATCAGACCAGTGAAGCTAAACCGTTTAGCCGGAACTACAATTGAGACCGAAACCAAGAGGAAACAACGGGTCATACGAACCGGTATCAGCTTTCAGCGGCAACTGCTCAACGCGTTTGAACCAGCTCACCGGTAACTTCCCCTCGAAGTCATAATCCCCGAAAATGACGTCAGCAATCCCTTGCCCTTCACTCCCAGGGAACCAAGCAGCGACCAAAGCCTCAGTCTTTTCAAGAACCGCCGCCTCAAGAACCATAGGCCGTCCTGAGAACAAGATAACCAGAGTCGTGATCTTCTCAGCAACCGCGGTTACAATGTCGCAACCGTTAAAAGGTATTGTAAGCTCCGAGTTATCTCCCTTCATCTCTGCATAGGGAGGTTCACCAACTGCAACAATGGCGTAAGAGAAGCGTTCACACGAAGCTAAAGTTTCCTTTGATGGAGTTTTCTGATAAACCACTTCGGTTTTGTCTCCAACTACTGCTTTTATAGCATCTAAAAGCGTCGTGCCTACACACATTTCAAAACAAAACAAAAACATATCAACGTATAAGCTTCAAAACGAGCGTCTGCGATTGGAAATTACCAATCGTGATCCCGCCGCTTTGACCGGATTTTGTCTTTGTCCACCCTCCACACTGATTCCCAAGATCGTTTGCGTGCGTTCCAACCACAAGAACCCTCTTGGCCATACGATCTAACGGCAGAAACGGCTTACCAGAATCTTTACCGTTCTTCAGCAACACTAACGACTTTCTAACCGCTTCACGCGCCACTTCTCTATGTTCCTGCATCCGTGGGAAATCCAGAGTCAATCATGCACTCATACATCTGTGGTCGTAACTAGTGAGAGAGAGATCTCTCACCTTGCAGCCAACAGTAGGCAACAAAGATCGGTCCGTGAGAGGATGTTCGAAGAGACCAGCTACAAACTTCACTCTGAGTATTCTTTCAACGGCACCATCAACACGAGCCATTGATACTTCCCCTGACTCAACCAGATCAGTAAGATCTTCTATGAACTGTCTGTACTTGAAAGGTACCATCATCTGCAATAAAACATTGATTTAAAACAATCTTTGTCTCTTTCAATCATCTCAACAAGACAGATTAAGAATCGATTTAGTACCATGTCGATTCCGGCATTGATCGATAGCTTCACGCAGTTACGGTAGTTTGAACCTTGTGGCTCGCTAATCGTCTCCAAACCATCCCAGTCCGAAACCAGAAATCCCTTGAAACCGAGTTTATCTTTGAGAACTTCCGTTAAGAGGAAATAGTCAGAGTGGAGTCTACTTCCATTCCAACTAGAGAAAGAAGCCATAACAGTACAAACTCCCTGAGATATACAGTTCAGATAAGGAGCCATATGAATCCTCTCCAGTTCTTCGTATGAAGCAATGGTGTGCCCTTCGCTTAAACCTTTATCAGTACCACCGTCTCCAACAAAGTGTTTTGCACAAGCGACCAGGTTGTTTCTGTAACCAAGTAAACAAATCCATGAGAAAAATGATAACAACAAAACTATATACAAAGTGTAGTGACATTGTATATGTTTATATACCTTCCTGCAAGAAATGGGTAAGCCTTAGGGTGTTCTTTGGGTGGGTTTCCTTGTAAGCCTGAGATAATCGAACTCATCTCACAAACAGTTTTAGCATCTTCACCATAGCTTTCATAGCATCGTCCCCACCTTGGATCTCCCAAAACCTTTGAGTAAAAGTGTAAAACAACATTTCATTCGATATTTTACAGGTCATTATGACAACATGTTTAACAATCTATAAAGTAACTTACGGCCACGCAGGGAGCAAACGTCCAGTGAATGCCACTAGCCCTTACTTCAATTGCTGTTGCAGCTCCGATTCTTCTGATCAACTCTGCGTCTCTATCAGAGTTTACACACGCATTACGAGTGTCGTTAAATCAAGAACAGCCAAAAAACGTAGATGAATCGATCTTAAAACAAAATGAAAATTCTAATCATAGCCACTGCAGCTACTACTACTACGTGATGAGAAGCCAGTTGAAGCAAAATCAACACACACTCCTATAAAACTATCAGATTCTTGTGGAAATAATTTAACAAAAATACTCGAAACACTTTTTTTTAGCAAATTCAAAAGCTTTAAAAGCAAATCTCTCTCACCGGGTGGCGCCGAGGCCAATGTTGTGGGGGAAGACGGTGGCACCATAGACGTTGTTGTTGCCGTGAACAGCGTCTGTGCCGTAGATTATTGGGATTCCCAAACGCGACGCTAACGCAGAACGCTGAAAGCCGTCGATCATATCAGCCCAATCCGACGACTCCGCGTCTTCGAACGGCCAACTCCCGGCGCCGCTCTGTACACTTCCTATAAACCAAAGTCATGAAAATAATCGAAAGAAAGCAAAATGATTTTCCAAAATTTTTGTTTTATTTTTCGAAAGAAATTAAGTACAAATCTGTGTATACCGATGAAAGAATCTGTAATGACTCGAGGAGAAGCGACGGTGCGTTCGATCTGAGTCATCTGACCGATTTTTTCCGGCAGAGTCATGCGAGAGAGAAGGTCTTGCACACGCGCCTCCACCGGCGCGTGTGGGTTCTTGTAAACGCATGACGACTCCTCTGTCTCTGCCATATTCTTTCTTCGTCTTTTCCTCACAAGTCCCAGCCACTTCACTTCTCTTTATCTTTCGCCACTTAATTAAATGATTTCTCACTCCAATAATTTGTGCTTTGTAGTCTTTTGATACAGATAGTAGAATATCAGTCCAAACACAATCCACTGTTATTTAAACTTGAAATAGTTTTTAAATCTTTGTACATCAAACCATGTGAAATGAATTTTCATAAATAAACAACTGGAAACAAAATCCAAAGTATTCTTATAAATGTTTTATGAAAATTTGAAAACTATAAAACATAGAGAACAAATTTTGAATCATTTAGAGCAACAAAAAAAAAAGAAGAAGATACAAAACTTGTAGAACAGTTCCTTGTCGAACAAGAAAGTAAGATAATGACAAAGATGTTACTTGGTTTTGCTTAAAGTAGCAATATATATATGGCAACATACACACACTCGTATTCACTTTATTCAAATATTTACAAACACACTCACACTCCACCGTTTATTATCCAATAATAATGGATCAATCTTCAGTCAGGCCGGTGAAGTTAAACCGTGTTTAAATTCCCGCCGGCACTGCAATTGAGACCGAACCCAAGAGGAAACAATGGATCATACGAATCTGCATCAGCGTTTAGCGGCAACTGTTCAACGCGTTTGAACCAGCTCACTGGTAACTTGCCTTCGAAGTCATAATCTCCAAATATAACATCAGCCATTCCTTGCCCTTCGCTTCCAGGCAGCCAAGCAGCGACCAGAGCCTCAGTCTTTTCAAGAACCGTCGGCTCAAGAACCATAGGCCGTCCTGAGAACAAGATCGCTAGAGTCGGGATTTTCTCCGCAACCGCGGTTACAATGTCGCTACCGTTAAAAGGTATTATGAGTTCCGAGTCATCCCCCAGCGTCTCTGCATAAGGCCCTTCTCCCACCGCAACAATGGCGTAAGCGAATTCTTCACTCGAGGCTAAGGTTTCCTCCGAAGGAGTCTTCTCGAATATCACTTCGGTTTCGTCTCCAACTGCTGCTTTTATGGCGTCCAAAAGCGTGGTGCCTGCATTTTCAAACCAAAACATTTACATTCGGAGTTTTTGATTCTCCAACAAACATCTACTAGCCTCTGAGATTTAGGGTCGCTTTAAATTACCGATTGTGATCCTGCCGCTTAGACCGAACCATGCCTTTGTCCATCCTCCGCACTGGTATCCAAGATCATCCGCGTGAGTTCCAGTAACTAGAATCCTCTTGGCACTGCGATCTAATGGCAGAAACGGTTTATCAACGTTTTTGCCGTTCTTGAGCAGAACTAAAGACTTTCTAACAGCTTCACGCCCCAATTCTCTATGTTCCTGAAACCATGAAAACAGAGTCAATCATGTTCTGGACTCACCACTTCCTGTCTATTCTAATGACATTATGTTCAAGAGATCCTCACCTTGCAGCCAACAGTACTCAACAAAGACCGGTCTGTGAGAGGATGTTCGAAAAGACCAGCGACAAACTTCACTCTGAGTATTCTTTCAACAGCGTCATCAATCCGAGCCATAGGTACTTCCCCTGCCTCCACCAGATCTGTGAGATCTTTTATGAACTGTTCGTACTCGAAAGGCAACATCACCTGCAATTACATAGATTAACAATCTTTTTGCTCAAAATCTCAAAATCTTAATCTGAAACAATGAAGATTATTAACTAGAGAGGTTTCAGAAGCTACCATGTCGATTCCAGCATTAACTGACATTTTGACGCAGTTGCGATAGTTTGAACTCTTTGGCTCGCTAAGCCGGTCCAAAGCTTCCCAGTCTGAAATGACAAATCCCTGGTAGAAAAGCAAAGACAAGTAGGTTCAGTTCATATACCTTTGGCTTGTTCAGATATTTCATACTCAACCAACCTTGAAACCGAGTTTCTGTTTGAGAAGTTCAGTCAAGAGGAAATAGTCAGAGTGGAGTTTACTTCCATTCCAACTGGAGTAAGAAGCCATAACAGTAGAGACTCCCTGAGCAAGACAATTCAGATACGGAGCAAGATGTAATCTCTCCAAGTCCTCGTATGACACAAGAGTGTTCCCTTCGTTTGTGCCCCTGTCAGTACCACCATCTCCAACAAAGTGCTTGGCACACGCGACCACATTGTTTCTATTCACATAATGAAACAAACCCATGAGAAATGACATCAAAAGCTATTAAAGACAGATATCAAGCCATATACATATATATGCATACCTTCCCGCAAGAAAAGGGTAGCCATTAGTGTGTTCTTTGGGTGGTTGGCCTTGAAGGCCCGAGACAAGCGTTGTAAGCTCACATATAATCTCAGCATCTTCACTGTAACACTCATACGATCTCCCCCATCTCGGATCTCTCAAAGCCTGTCAGAAAAAGAAAAGAAAAAAACAAAGGAACAACACCTCTTTCACTTATCTTTTGTTTTTCCATACCCAAATGTAAAACACAAACTGTTTCTCTAATTTGGCATTATGATATGAGAGACGCCAAATAAAGATATCCCACCATAGGCTTCATTCAATAGGCTACAAAGCTATTGATTAACCAAAAAAACACCAAATCCTTATCACAAAGGAGTTTGCTTTGACGACAAAAGTAGAACCTAGTGAAAATTACCATATCTCATTCAATTTCTTAACATCTCTCTATTAAGGAACTTACGGCCACGCATGGAGCAAACGCCCAGTGAGCGCCAATGGCCCTTACTTCAAGCGCTGTTGCAGCCCCAATTCTTCTTATCAACTCTGCGTCTCTATTGAAATTACCAAAAGGAATGTTATCACATTCAATACTACTTCTATAAGGTTTGACTCCAATCTAAACCCAAATAAAGTTTCCGGTTTTGAACCACCCAAACACATATAAACCCAAAACGAGAATGAGAATCGGAAATTAAACCTGGTGGCTCCGAGTCCGATGTTGTGGGGGAAGATGGTGGCTCCGTAGACGTTGTTGTTGCCGTGGACGGCGTCAATGCCGTAGATTATCGGGATTCCCAAACGCGACGCTAACGCTGCGTTTTGGTAGCCGTCGATCATATCCGCCCAATCCGACGACTTAGCGTCCTCGAACGGCCAACTTCCTCCGCCGTTCAATACACTACCTGCAACCCCAAAACCGTCGATAGATTTTTCAGCAAATTCAAATTTTTTCTCGAAATGGATACAAAAACTTCAAATTCTCAAAAGTGTATATACCGATGAAGAAGTTTGTAATGACGGGATGAGTAGTGACGATTCGTTCGATCTGAGTCATCTGGCCGATCTTCTCCTGCAGAGTCATCCGAGAGAGAAGGTCTTGTACACGCGCCTCCACTGGCGCGTCTGGGTTTTTGTAAACGCTTGACGACGACGACGACTCTTTTCCTTCTTCCATGACTACTCTTTTCTCTTCTTCTGTTACAAAGTTTCTTCTACTTCACACCTTTTCTCTTTAGTCTTCTTCTTTATATATATATAGCCATTAAGAATAGTTTCGCATTCATTTAAATTGAGGGAACTATTATTATTTTTGTCAACATTGAATTATTCTTAGACCACAAAAGTCATGTAAGACACGTTACAAATTCAATTAACAACCTTAATCAAACTAAATCACCTTAATTAAACATTGGGTTTATAGACACGCCAAAACCTTATCGCTTGCTAAGCATATTAATATTAATTTTTTGGCTTCTTTTTATTGTCAACATTGAACTATTCCTAAACCAAAAAAAAAAAATAACATTGACCTACACTAGTCAGCTTAATTAAACATTAAGTTCATAAACACAAGCAACATGCCAAAATCGTATCGTGACCCATGCCTAATCAGATTGGTTGACCTATTATTTGCCTTATCTAAAGTTGAGCTAGTCATGTAAGATACTTTACACCACAAAAATCAGGAAAGAAAAAAAAAAAATGATTTCTCAACCAAAATTTGATTTTCCAAAATGGATTTGTTTAACATGTATAGCAAAAAACAAATCAAAAACCCAAGAAATATTTTTTTGGTAAGATTTATTCTCAACATACCTGGACGAGTATGTTAGTTTCGGTTCTCTTAATTCCATAGCTTATTGAGACAGCAAGAGGATGATACCACAATTATTGGAAGAGAATTTTCAGCGGTTCAACTACATAATGTTCACCAAGTAAATCCTCTCCCTTGCATAAAGACAGTTGCAATCTGTGCCTGCAGAATAATATTCATACAACTCTTTTTAAGTAGACGACATGCAGAGAAAACATGTGTTTGACTGCAACTTCATCAATGCGTCTCTGGAAAATGATTAAACACAAAATCTGAAGAAGAAACCATGACAGATGCCATGCTCAACCTTGTGACCAATTCCAGAAGAACCAACGACATTCAAGCATAGCCATAGGCTACACTATGCCTAGCAGCCACAATCCATTTTTTACAGAACTGAAAACGAAGTGGAAGAATTTATAGGCTACTCATCTTCAGGGAAGTAACCAGTAAGAATGCAGGAACGAGGCCAAAGATGATTTCTGAAAATTCTGATTACCAATCAACCAGTTTCAGTCAAGTGGCTATGCCAGAGACGAGAATAATGCAGAGTGACGTACTGTCAAATATGTTCGCATGCCTCTCTGGGCATATATGTTGTCCCTCAGAAAGCTCTTTATACTCATAATCATCCACAGTTTCACTCTGCTCAGGCATGTATCCAATTTGGGAAGATGCACAAACAAGAGCATTCCAAACAGAACCTGAAAGAAAAGCAAAACCCACCATCTTAAGTCGTTATAGGGAAAATAAGTGTATCTGAGTCTGATTTAGAACAGAGATTTGTAAGGCTGTTATGCTTCTAGAAATGAGTCTAAGTGAGCTCACCTGAGCTGCCACCTCGCTTGTGTACATAACTACAAACGAAAACAAAGCATAAGTTCACCGAACTTGACTTGCATATAACTCCAAAAAAGCAAAACCTAACCTGCTATACAACTCCTTGACTGAGAGAACAAGATTTAGAGCATACATGACAGCAAACCTGACATACCAACGGAGTTCACGGATGTAAATCTTATTTCATGACCATTGCAGAGCCCCAAGCAAAAGCTTCAACCCCCAAGCCAAAGAAACCACACAAATAACAACACCTTTAAGGCAAAACATACACAACAACAAATCAGAAGATAAGACTACGTTCAAAACCGGAAGACAACCAAAAAAAAAGCACATCATAAGGAGGGAGCCCAGATCCATCCAAATCCAGAACTGAAACCCCCATGATCAATCTGAACAAAGGCTCAGCAGTACCATAAGCAGCCAACAGAGCCAGGAAATAGCTATACAGTTCTGACCTCAAGCAGACCCTCTCAAGCATCATTGTCTCGAGCCATGAGTACTTCCCCTGACTCAACCAGATCTTTAAGGTCTTCTATGAAGTGTCTGTACTTGAAAGGTACCATCATCTGCAATAAACATTGATTAAAACAATCTTTGTCTCTTTCAATCATCTCAACACGACAGATTAAAAATCCTTTACTTACATTCCAACTACAAAAAGAGACCATAACGGTACAAACTCCCTGAGCTATTCTAACAGACCAGCTACAAACCAACAGCAGACACAAGGTGAGCCCAAGTGTAGATTTTTTTTCGTATCTCCTGAAATCGAAGAAAGATATGAAAACTATCTTCACAACAAGAAATCAGTAGAATTTGGAATGAAACACTTCCCAAAGCATTTCTATTTTCTTTGAGTTTATAAAAGCGACAAGGGTGACTGAAAATAACAAAACCCACATTGCAAATAAGACTCATTCAGACATATAGGCAAACACCTGAGCTGCATATATATATCAAGCCTAGTTAACTACTAAATCAAAAGCTAATGAATCCATTACCACTTCTTCTACGAATGTTTATTTACAAATTAAGAAGCGCCAGTCTCTCAAATCAAATGCAATTATCTCCTCATTGAAACACTTTGAAAGAGACAAGCATTTTTATCTCCTCATTGTTTTGCAGTATATAAGTTGGAAAAAAAGTAAAAGACAAGAAATAGAGCCAAGATTTGGTTATAACGTGTCATATATTTAACATTTAGGCTTATGGAAAAAAGAACGGACACTTACAAAATTAGTAAAAGACAAGAAATAGAGCCAAGATTTAGTAGTTAATATATGAACGAATACAAAAGAAAATAAAAATTGTTGACTCAGTCAAAACATCAATCAGTTGTTGGAGCAAGATCTAAGAGATCAACATTGTTGGGAACCCGAAAGATGGTTGAGGAACAGAGTTGTTGCAGCTTCTCATGTCTTCCTCCGCAAGTAACCTATCCAAGTAACTTGAATTGTCTGGATTATAGTACGGAATCGGAGGTTGTTCAAAGCTTGGAAGAGCAACAGAGTTGGGCAATTGTGTGAATGTGCCATCGTCATGGTTATACAAAAGCAGTGAGAAGTTGCTGCTCGGATCTTGATTCAACGAACAAGACGTGGTTAAATCAGCAGGAGGAACTGAGAAATTGCTGCTCGGATCTTGATTCAACGAAGAAGACGTGGTTAAATCAGCAGGACGAATTGAGAAGTTGCTGCTCGGATCTTGATTCAACGAATTTGGCCCGGTCTGAAGCAGACGAACCCTGTCTTGTAATATCCGTCGAATATCTTCCAAAGAAGCTTCAATCTCCATGACTTTCTGTTCGAATTTTCCGTCGTCTTTACCCTCGAGAGATCTCTTCTTCTCATCGTTCATCTTCTTGGTTAGGAATTGCGAAAGGTTGGAGCTTTTCTTGAGCTTTTCTTGATCGCTTAATCTGCTAAACCTCTCGGCTAAATCTCTGACCTTTGAGAGATCCTCGGGCCATGTGTTGATGAGTTCTCCGTCGCGGCTGTAATGGATTACGCACGCTTCGATCTCGCACAGAGTCGAAAGCTCGGAGGCTTTCTTCAGAATCGTCTGTTCTCTCATGGCCAAGTTCGTGATTTTCTTTGCGGCAGAGAAAGCCGATTTCTTGAAACTGGGTTTGCTTCTCACAGACAATTTGGTGTTCTTACTTGTCGAAGAACAAGAAGATGAAGAAGAATCCATTGTCGAAGAGAATTTGCGTGTGAAATAATCAAAAGTGAAGCGGACGAAAGGTTTAGGATTGTTGTTGCCTAGGTTTGATTTCCTTTTGGGACTAGCGTGTGACAGTGAAATAATGAATAGTGAAGAGGACGAAAGGCTTAGGGTTTGGTATATATAAATGTAATTTGTTGTTGTTGCCACTGCCTAAGTTTGATTTCCTTTTTTGTGATCGGATCAATAAAAGATCTGATAATTTCCTTAGACCCCAATTAATCTAGCCGTTAGGAGGTTTTATCGTTGTCGTACACATTTTAAATATATACAACTGATATATAATTCTGGATTTGAGTTTTTTCATCCACTGTGTATTCGTGTTAAACAGTTTTAGGCATTAGCTGACAATTAGAATAATACAGTACATATATAAATTTTTTGTTAATTAAAAGTGATCTCATTTGTATATGTTTTGTTTTTTAAATAATTTATCTTTAAAATAAAAAAATTAAAAATGGACCCATAAATAATGTTATGTTTTGTTATTATTTTAAAACTAGAAATAAAACATTTCTGTTTAATCTGCGCTATATTAAAGATTAAACAAAAATTTATTTGAAATAATTATAAGTAAAATATATATAATAAAAAATGTAAATATTCAAAATAACTTATAATTATTATAAAAATGGTATCTTTTATGTTTTTTTTTAATTATTAACTTGTTCTAAATGAAATGTACAAACTAATTATGATAAAAATATATTAATTTTTATAAAAAATTTTAGGATTATTATTACTAATTATTAATAGAAAAAAGTAAAATTCTGAAAAGTAATAAGATAGACAACTTTTTAAGAGTGTTAAAAAAGTTATATATGAAAATATAAAATAAAAATATATGATATAAATATGTGATCTTCTATTTATACAATTATTAAAAATTTGTATTCGCGCAAAAGTGTAATGTAAAAAATAAATATAGAAGCAATCTTTCAAAAACTTTTTTTTTATAAAACTATACATATTATTAAAAAGTTAGAAACAAAGAATTATAATAAAAATTTGATATTTTAAAAAAATACTACAGAAAAATATATATAATAAAAAAAGATGTAACGAGATTTTATAAAATATTTTCTAAGACTACTATAGTTTCTAAAAAAATTCACAATATTTAAAAGTATATTACAAATATATTAGTTAAAATATAAAAAAACTTTGATACTTGAAAAATACATAATATAAAATATATGTGAATTTGTTACATTACATAAATATATTTCTCTGAAATTAGAAAAAAGAATCCAAATATTAGGTACTTTAAATTGATGAACAACTGATAAAGAATATTAAAATTTGAAAATAACACAATTAACTATAAATATATAGATGTTTTTCATAAACATAAAATTAAATAACATAATATATATTAGTAAACAAAATACATATAATTTCTTTATAATAAAAATATCATTAGATTTTGGTTGAATAAATTATATTTTTCTAATGCAATGCATATAAAACAATCTTGTAATAAAATTGCTCATATTTTAGCCAAAACTAAATCCCTAAATTGAATCTTTTACTCAAATTCAATATCTGAACCTCCAGGACTTTTAAACACTTTGTATCATGATAGCATGTTATGATAAATAAATATATTTACGATAAAAAATTCACCATAGTAAAAAAGTAAAAGTTAGACCCAAATTGATTTTTTTTTATGGTTTTGACCAATAAAAATAGTTTTGAAAAGACACAAATAATAGTTGTGATAATGAAAAGATGCAACCATTTATAGTGAAAAGACGCAACCACAAATTTTGAAACGACACAACTTTTTAAAGTGTAGATGGCATTTATTCGGATTGTTAACAAAAAAAATAAATAACATAATATATATTAGTAAACAAAACACATATAATTTATTTATTGGTTGAATAAAAAAAATTTCCCTGATGTAATGCATGTAAAACAATCTTGTAATGAAACTTATTATATTTTAGCCAAAATTGGACCTCCAAATAGAATTGTTTTACTCAAATTCAATATCTGAACCCCCATGACTTTTAAAAACTTTGTATCCTGATAATATGCTATGATAAACAAATAAGTTTACGACAAAAAAACTCACTATAGTAAGAAAGTAAAAATTAGATCCAAATAATTTTTTTCTTGTGGTTTTGAGCAATATAAATAAATTTGAAAAAACAGAAATAATAGTTGTTATAAAAAAAAAATGCAACCATTTATAATGAAAAGATGCAAACATTTATAATGAAAAGACACAACCAAAAATTTTGAAACGACACAACTTTTTAAAGTGTAAATGACATTTATTCGGATTGTTTACGACAAAAAAATCCACAGTAGTAAAAAAATAAAAGTTAGACCCAAATGATTTTTATTCTGTGGTTTTGAGCAATATAAATAGTTTTGAAAAGACACAAATAACAGTTGTGATGCAAAAACGTAGCCATTTATAATAAAAAGATGCAACTTTTTATAATGATAGATGCAACCACAAATTTTGAAACAACACAATTTTTTAAAGTGTAAATGATATTTATTCGAATTATTAACAAAAAATAAATAACATAATATATTAGTAAACAAAACACATATATTTTATTTATAATAAAAATATCATTAGATTTTAGTTGAATAAATTTTATTTTTTCTGATACAATGTATGTAAAACAATCTTGTAATGAAATTGCTCATATTTAGCCAAAATTGGACCTCCAAATGAGTTTTTTTTTCTCAAATTCAATATCTGAACTTTCAGGACTTTTAAACACTTTGTATTCTGATAATATGTTATGATAAATAAATAAGTATATGACAAAAAAAGAAAACTCACTATAGTAAAAAAAGTAAAAATTAGATCCAAATGATTTTTTGTGTGGTTTTGAACAATATAAATAGTTTTGAAAAGACACAAATTATAGTTGATGAAAAAATGCAACCATTTATAGTGAAAAGATGCAACTATTTATAATAAAAAGACGCAACCATAAAATTTCAAAAAGACACAATGACAAAATGCCAAAGTGCAATTATCATTTTTACAGTTTGTTATTATAGATAGATAATCTATACTATTAAAAGAGGATTATCTTTTAAAACTAACATTTGAATATTGTGTTATTTACAGCAATTACCATTAATGAATGAATATAAGTATTATGTATAAACTATGTAAATGGTACTAACTATACTAACTATATATTTATAACTATCTAAATTATTTAAAGAGAATCATTCTTAATAAATGTCCAATTCATATCATGGTATTTACAAGTCCTGTCATTATATTTACTAGAGAATTTCATAATTTCATTAAAGGTATTAGTGTCTTATTATAATTTCAATTACACATTTTTTATTTTAATAATTACATACTTAAACACTATAGTTAACATACACTAACTATACTTGATTAATTTGGATAACCGCTCTGATTATAACTATTTTAAGTTCAATTGAGTTTTATCTCGATTGGAGAAACTCAATTTTTAAAACATTAGGCGCTTAAGGATCTTAACATATACAAATAATTAAACGTTAGGCAAATTCCTAGATCCACACTCTGAGTATAGTTGTTGACACTAAATTGTGAAGTTATTGTTTGACGAAGATCTCTCACGTGACCTTTTCAAACGGGATTGCTCCAGCACAATTATGTGGCTTTTGGTTAGCTACGCTAGGGTTTAATAATTGTGAGCTATTGTTTCGCCTATCTTGAAAGATTCTTCATTGTTAACACAATCTGGTTTAAAAAAATTGTTCGTTTCTGGTTTAATAGGACATAAGTTTAGCAAAACAAAAATGAAGAGAATCTTTGTTGAGTGTAACTGAGGAATTGGTTAGAGTTGTGTTCGATAGATTGATTTGAGTGATATTTAGAAGATACTTTTTTTCTTGGAATTTTAAAAAAACTAATGAAATACGGTGAAGAAGAAGAAGAAAGGGTCAGATTGTTTTACGGGTGATATGTTTTTGGGTTGGATTTTGTTAAAATTAGATTTGATTCGGTTGATGATTTGGTTCGATTAGTTTATTGAGTGTAATAGGAACCAAAATTTCAAAATCGATGTACATATAAAAATATTAAACCAATCAAACCAATTCATAAACCGAATTAAACTATAACTAATTAAATAGAAAATCTTAGTTACCTAATTATAGTTTTGTAATATATTATTATTCAATTACAATAACTAATAAAATTTCGAAAACTAAACAAAGAGAATATAAGATCTGTACAAAATCTTTAAAAAAAAATTATGATAGCATATCTTCACAGAATACGGAATATACAAGTATACATTCTGGAATGCAAATATTTGCTTTTGAATTTGCATGTATTTACTTCGAAACATACATTATTGTTTATTGAGAAAAATATATTTTATATTGTTAATTTGCATGTTCTCGCATGTGCTTAGTGCGGGTTTGCGGAATGCGTGTAACACAATTTTGCAAATTATATGGGTTTTACATATTTTAGCAGAAAAATATAGTCATACGGGAAAATACGGGTTTGTGGGTTAGAAACTCGATTTTACAGGTTTGGCAGAAACACATGATTTTAAAAATTTGGTCGTAAAACGTAATTTTACGGATTTTACAATTTTACAAAAAGCATGGATTTGTGGATTTGGAGGAAAACTTGATTTTGCGGGTTTTACAAGATTTACATATTTTGGTGGGTTTTATAGGATTTGATAGAAAAATATAGTTTATGGATTTTATTGAAAATGCAAGTTTGCGGGTTTGACGAGAAACGCAATTTTGCAGGTTTGACAAAAACACGTGATATTAGAAGTTCGGGCATAGAATACGGTTTGATGGTGTTGGGAGAAAACATAATTTTTGGTTTTGTTAAACAATATGAGTTTGCAGTTTTGGCAGGAAAATACGGTTTGATGAAAAATTCTATTTTTACAGTTTCTACAGAAATTCTCGGTTTTGGTACAAAAATGTGATTTTATGATTTTGCAGGAAAATGCAACTTTTTATTTCGATAGAAAACTCTGACTTTATGGTTTTGACAAAAAAAATATTTGATTTTGTGGTTTAAATTAGAGGGTGTTTTGGTTTTTTAATTTTTGAGATTCAAATACTGCATCCAAACTCTTTTTTTAGCATCTTAAATTTTCAATATTTTTCAATATTATAGATTTTGCATCGAGATACAATATCCATATACTGATTTAAAAATATTTTAAAAAATAATATTTACATATTTGCATCCAAATAAGTATTTGGATGCAAAAACAAACAAGCCTAAGTAAATATTAAAATCTTAATTACAAACAAATCAAATCTCTACTACAATATTAGAAAACATAATATTTTGAAATATTTGTTACAAAACTTAACAGAAAATTTGCTAATCAAAATATATTTTCTTATAAATTCAAACCTAAATAATTCTAAGAACATAAAACCATAATATAAAAATAGTTTATATAATCTAATAAAAAAATTCTGTTTGGGCAATAATTTTGAATTTAATAATATAAGATGGTCTTTTTTGAACAAAAGTTTAATATAAACCAATTTTTGTTGTAACGTAAAAATAATATTTTATGAAAAGAAACCCGCGCAAGTGCGCGAGTCCAAAATCTAGTTTAACTTTAAATCAAAACTTAAAACTAAAATTAAAAATGGACCCATAAATAATGTTTTGTTATTATTTTTATTCTCTTCAATTCATTACAATTCTTTTCTACTGTATTGCATAGTATTTAAATTATTCATTTTGCCAAACTATAGATTTGTTGAATGATTACTTGTTTTATCTTAAGTTCAGCTAGTCATGTAAGATTTTTGGGCGTTGACCACTCTTTCCTAAATCATGTACACATATGTTGCTTCATGTGTAAAATCATGTTTGTTGTAATCTCTCAAAAAAACTACAAAATCTGGACCAGAATTCAATTGTATTATCGTATTAAGTATGAACTGAACCAATTTTTCAACAAGATTATTTATGAAATAAAAGGGTCCCTTGAAAATTTGTAAAAAAGTTACAAGGATAACAACAAAAGTTCATATACAATATGCCATTTCTTTGCACCTGTACCTCAAAATCAGACGTACGGTGAAGTTAAACCGGTTCTGAGTTCTCCACGGAGTCGGAATTGAGACCAAAACCAAGAGGAAACAATGGGAAATACCCATTAGCATCAATGTCAAGCGGCAACTGGTCTACGCTTTTAAACCAGCTCACTGGTAACTTCCCACGAAACTCATAATCTCCGAAAGTGACATCAGCAATCCCTTGCCCTTCGCTTCCAGGCAGCCAAGCAGCGACCAAAGCCTCTGTCTTTTCAAGAACCTCCGGCTCAAGAACCATAGGCCGTCCTGAAAACAAGATCACTAGAGTCGGGATCTTCTCTGCAACCGCGGTTACAATGTCGCTACCATTAAAAGGTATTATCAGTTCCGAGTTATCCCCTGGAGTCTCTGCATATGGCGCTTCTCCCACCGCAACAATGGCGTAAGAGAATCTTTTCGCCGAGGCTAAGGTTTCCTTCCATGGAGTTTCCTCGTAGATTACTTCTGTTGTGTCTCCTACTGCTCCTTTTATGGCATCCAAAAGCGTCGTCCCTATATTTTTCAGATAATATATAAAGTTTGAGACAACATTTTATTACTTTCTTTACAAATCATATCTTTGATTTACCGATTGTGATCTTTCCGCTTTCACCGGTCATTGTCTTTGTCCATCCTCCACACTGATATCCAAGATCATCAGCGTGCGTTCCAACCACTAGAATTCTCTCGGCATTGCAATTTAGTGGCATAAATTGTCCGTATTTGCCGTTTTTTAGATGAACCAACGACTTTCTAACCGCTTCACGCGCCAATTCTCTATGTTCCTGAAGGCGTGAAAACAGAGTAAAAAACCGGTTCTTTACCACCCCGGTTCAATAGTATATTCGGTACAGAAGAGCTCACCTTGCAACCAACGGTAGGCAACAACGACCGGTCCGTGAGAGGATATTCGAAGAGACCAGCTACAAACTTCACCCTGAGTATTCTCTCAACAGCATCATCGACACGAGTCATGAGTACTTCCCCTGACTCCACCAGATCTATCATGTCTTTTATGAACCGTTCGTAGTTAAATGGTACCATCACCTGCAAATTAACATTTGATATAATAGTTATCTTTGCTCTTTCAATCATCCGAGATAACAAAAAAAAAATAGAAAAAAAAATCATTACCAAATCTATCCCAGCATTAATGGCGATTTTGACGCAGTTGCGGTAGTGTGTACCAGGTGGGTCGCTAAGCCGGTCCACACCTTCCCAATCCGAGACTACAAATCCCTGATAACCAAACTGAAAAGATGAAATCAAGCTAACTCAATGAATATTACAAACCTCTTGCTTATTTTTTAGATACTCAAACCAACCTTGAAACCGAGTTTCTGTTTGAGGACTTGCGTTAAGAGGAAATAGTGAGAGTGAAGTTTATCTCCGTTCCAACTAGAGTAAGAGGCCATAACGGTAGATACGCCTTGAGCAATACAGTTCTTGTAGGGAGCAATGTGTATCCTCTCCAGCTTTTCATATGAAAGTATAGTGTTCCCTTCGTTTATGCCTTTATTGGTACCACCGTCTCCAACAAAGTGCTTGGCACATGCGACCACGTTTTTTCTATTACCAAGTGACAAACACATTTCCATGAGGAATGAAATTTAAACACACTAAAAAAGAATACAAATCAATACATAGTCTCTACCTTCCTGCAACAAAAGGGTAGCCATTGATGTGTTCTCTAGGTGGTTGGCCTTGTAGACCCGAGACAAGTGAACTCATCTCAGAAACAATTTTAGCAACTTCACCATAACTCTCATAGCATCTTCCCCATCTCGGATCTCTCACGGTCTTAAAAGAAACAACATCATATTTCAATTGACTGAGCAATATTCGATACTGTTGCTAAGGTATAAAGGACTCACTGCAACGCAAGGAGCAAATGCCCAGTGAGCTCCGCACGCCCTAACTTCAAGTGCTGTTGCAGCTCCGATTCTTGTCACCAAATCTGCATCTCTACACAGTTACCACAAGAACTACATTATCGCAACCAAATACATCATGGCCACAATAGATGCATCGATCTTGTACACAACCAGTAACTTATCATTCAAGAAACATGATGTGTTTATAATCCAAGTTACACTATCAGTAGCTTAGAATTCAAGTAACTCGATCACAACTTTTAACGAAGACCCAAATTAAGTAAGGTTTAATCAGTGAAGGCAAGTTTCATAAGAAAACAGTCAAACAGATAAAGTCAACCCCATCATATGCAAATCTCTCTTCTGTGGGATTTACAGATAAAGTCAACCCCATTATATGACCTGGTGGCACCGAGGCCAATGTTGTGGGGGAAGATGGTGGCGCCGTAAACGTCGTTGTTGCCGTGAACGGCGTCAATGCCGTAGATTATTGGGATCCCTAAACGCGACGCTAACGCTGATCGCTGAAAACCGTCGATCATAACCGCCCAATCCGATGACTTTGCGTCTTCAAACGGCCAACTCCCTCCGGCGTTTAGTACACTACCTGTAACGTTAAATCCATACCATAAACACTACCAATAACAAAAGAAACGATAGAGAGCAAGACAAAACAAAATAAGGACAACTACTTTTCGATAATGGGAGAAAAACAACAAATTTGCTAATTCAAACTAGATTTCGGAAAACTGGAAATTTGTTCGTTGACCAAAAAATAGTGCTTTGTGTATATGTACCGATGGAGAAATCTGCAATGACGGCGGGAGAAGCCACGCGGCGTTCAATCAGAGTCATTTGGCCGATCTTCTCCGGCAGAGTCATGCGAGAGAGAAGGTCCTTCACACGCGCCTCCACCGGCGCGTCTGGGTTCTTGTAAACGCATGACTTTTCATTGTCAACCATTTTCCTCCTCTTTCTCGTCTGACTATTCTACTTCTTCACTTTATATAGCCAAGCTAGAGGACACGTGGCATGTTGAACTGGACAAGACAACCAAATTGCTTGTGGTTTATTTTACTGTAAGGAACAAAAAAAAAGTAAGATCTTGGAGTTGGACAACGACCTGTAACACCAACACTGAGTATTCTTTCAACAGCATCATTGACTCGAGCCATTGATACTTCCCCTGTTCGAATAGCAGTACAAACTCCCTGAGCTATTCGAACAGACCAGCTACAAACTTCACCCTGAATATTCATCCAAGGATGTACCAACAGCAGAAACAAAAATGAGTATGAGAAGCAATGAAACTGGCAAGCTAAGCTATGTGACATACTCACCATAAAAGAGGATGGCTTACTCGAATGATCGAGAAACTTAGGCTGAAACTAAAGGACATGAGAATCTTAAGAAAGCTACTAGAGGAGCAAGCTAACACATAACGGATTTGTGAATTAACCTGTAAAACTAGAGCAGGCAAGAACAATAAAACAGGCATTAGATGGTAGTACTTCCTTAGCAAGATCCAAGAAGGAACAGGCACGGCCATAAAAAATAGAAATAAAACAAAGAATAAGACAGACTTTCTTTGTCGGCTGTCTCTCATTCTCAAAGAATGATGACTGATATAATACTTTCACCAAAAAGGGAACAGACCGGAAACGATGGATGTCATGTTGCAGACAACGGCAGTGTCTTCCCCATCTCGGATCTTTGCACACCTGCGAGATAGAGAAAGTATGAAAAGTTACCAACACCGAAGATAAGTAAGTGATAGTTGAGATTTTGAAGTACCATAAGAAGAGATGCATCCAAGAAGGGCAACCACAACCATACAAATTACAAGTGAAACAAATAATAAGACAAACTTTCTTTGACGAGCATCTCTCTTTCTCAAAGAGCTTTCATATATGTGCAGAACAGATCTAAACACCATCGGGAAAAGATTATCTGTTTGATTTCTTGATTTTGTTATCAACATACCTGGGCGATTATGTTGGTTTCGGTTCTCTTTATTCCATAGCTTATTGAGAGAGCAAGAGGATGATACCACAGTCACTGGAAGAGAATTTTCAGCGGTTCAACTACATAATATTCACCAAATAAATCCTCTCCTTGCATAAAGACAGGTGCAATCTGTGCCTGTAGAAAACATGTGTTTGTTTGACTGCAACTTGACCAATGCTTCTATAATTAGTATCTGGAAAATGATTAAACACAAAATCTGAAGAAGAAACCATGACAGATGCCATGCTCAACCTTGTGACCAATTCCAGAAGAACCAACGACTTTCTAACCGGTTCTTTACCACTCCGGTTCAATGGTATTCAGTACAAGAGTGCTCACCTTGCAACCAACCGTAGGCAACAGAGATCGGTCCGTGAGAGGATGTTCGAAGAGACCTGCCACAAACTTCACTCTAAGTATTCTTTCCACAGCATCATTGACTCGAGCCATGAGTACTTCCCCTGACTCAACCAGACCAGTAAGATCTTCTATGAACTGTCTGTACTTGAAAGGTACCATCATCTGCAATAAACATTGATTTAAAACAATCTTTGTCTCTTTCAATCATCTCAACAAGACAGATTACAAATCGTTTACTTACTTTCCAACTAGAAAAAGATACCATAACAGTACAAACTCCCTGAACGATTCGAACAGACCAGCTACAAACAACCAGCAGACACAAGGTGAGCCTGAGGGTGGCTGAAAATAACAAAACCCACATTGCCAATAAGACTCATTCAGACATATAGTCGAACACCTGAGCTGCATATATATATCAAGCCTCGTTAACTACTGAATCAAAAGCTAATGAATCCATTACACTTCTTCTACGAATGTTTATTTACAAATTAAGAAGCGCCAGTCTCTCAAATCAAATGCAATTATCTCCTCATTGAAACACTTTGAAAGAGACAAGCATTTTTATCTCCTCATTGTTTTGCAGTATATAAGTTGGAAAAAAAGTAAAAGACAAGAAATAGAGCCAAGATTTGGTTATAACGTGTCATATATTTAACATTTAGGCTTATGGAAAAAAGAACGGACACTTACAAAATTAGTAAAAGACAAGAAATAGAGCCAAGATTTAGTAGTTAATATATGAACGAATACAAAAGAAAATAAAAATTGTTGACTCAGTCAAAACATCAATCAGTTGTTGGAGCAAGATCTAAGAGATCAACATTGTTGGGAACCCGAAAGATGGTTGAGGAACAGAGTTGTTGCAGCTTCTCATGTCTTCCTCCGCAAGTAACCTATCCAAGTAACTTGAATTGTCTGGATTATAGTACGGAATCGGAGGTTGTTCAAAGCTTGGAAGAGCAACAGAGTTGGGCAATTGTGTGAATGTGCCATCGTCATGGTTATACAAAAGCAGTGAGAAGTTGCTGCTCGGATCTTGATTCAACGAACAAGACGTGGTTAAATCAGCAGGAGGAACTGAGAAATTGCTGCTCGGATCTTGATTCAACGAAGAAGACGTGGTTAAATCAGCAGGACGAATTGAGAAGTTGCTGCTCGGATCTTGATTCAACGAATTTGGCCCGGTCTGAAGCAGACGAACCCTGTCTTGTAATATCCGTCGAATATCTTCCAAAGAAGCTTCAATCTCCATGACTTTCTGTTCGAATTTTCCGTCGTCTTTACCCTCGAGAGATCTCTTCTTCTCATCGTTCATCTTCTTGGTTAGGAATTGCGAAAGGTTGGAGCTTTTCTTGAGCTTTTCTTGATCGCTTAATCTGCTAAACCTCTCGGCTAAATCTCTGACCTTTGAGAGATCCTCGGGCCATGTGTTGATGAGTTCTCCGTCGCGGCTGTAATGGATTACGCACGCTTCGATCTCGCACAGAGTCGAAAGCTCGGAGGCTTTCTTCAGAATCGTCTGTTCTCTCATGGCCAAGTTCGTGATTTTCTTTGCGGCAGAGAAAGCCGATTTCTTGAAACTGGGTTTGCTTCTCACAGACAATTTGGTGTTCTTACTTGTCGAAGAACAAGAAGATGAAGAAGAATCCATTGTCGAAGAGAATTTGCGTGTGAAATAATCAAAAGTGAAGCGGACGAAAGGTTTAGGATTGTTGTTGCCTAGGTTTGATTTCCTTTTGGGACTAGCGTGTGACAGTGAAATAATGAATAGTGAAGAGGACGAAAGGCTTAGGGTTTGGTATATATAAATGTAATTTGTTGTTGTTGCCACTGCCTAAGTTTGATTTCCTTTTTTGTGATCGGATCAATAAAAGATCTGATAATTTCCTTAGACCCCAATTAATCTAGCCGTTAGGAGGTTTATCCTTGTGATATATATAATTCTTCAATTGCTAACTATAAAAATAAACCATCAAGGACAGAGCAAACTTTATTCTTGAAGGCAAAACATAAACAGAGTTTAATGTGAAATTTCTGGTACACAAAACCAAAGCCTATTAACAGAAAAAGGCAAAACATAAATAGAGTAAATTAAAAATGATCTTATTTATATTAGGTAAATAATCCGCGCTTTCGTGCGAAAACTCATTTTTTAATAATTATTTTATATAACTGATATTTTAAAAATATGCATAAATAGTTAAATCAATAAATTTATATTTAAATATATTTATTTAATAAATTAAAAAGATAATTAATAACAACATAAACATTTAGAAAACAATCTATATCAAATATATGATTGCAAGGTAGTTTCAGAAGAATTTATTTATCAACAAAATGTTCTTCGCAAATCACGCACATATATTATTAGTATGTTTTCCTTCATTCTTTGTTTCTATAAAAAATGTTATTATTTCCGATTAGATAGTTACATTTTCAATTGAAGATTTTGGTACAACAATTCATTAATCAAAAAGCTTTTTAATTGTTTGTTGCTTTCAAGTATCCTCGTAAGTGACATCTTAGTGAATATGTAATGTTGATAATGGTGTCATGATTTTTGAATGGGAATAATCACTAGATTCAATCACTTCACAAGCCCTAAGTATAACATTCATTACAATCATGTTTACCTCTTCAAATTCAATTCCTTCACTTATCAAAGAATTATTAAAATCTTTTTTTATATGTAGACCTCTCTTCAGATATAAAATTAACGCCACTAAAAGTAAATAACTTTAATATTGGTAATTGAAACTAAATTGTTGTATAACTTGACAAGTATAATGATTGTTTCACCACACTCACTTTTTAACAGTTCGTTCAATCTAACGCTATAGGAAGAAAAAGTTATATTTAAAAAAAAAAATGAAACCAGTAAATATGAGTGTTACCAAAGAATGAAAATATATTATTTCTAATTAATTAAGTATACAAGTATAAGTGCTCTTTAAGTAAATAAAGCAACTGTTGACTTAAATAATTTTTAAAAGAGAAAATTTACGTCCTTTTAAATTATGTCTATTCATTTAAAAATGGTTAATTTTTTCCTATAATTGTTGGAATAATTTATAATTATTATCTACCTATTTGTATCCTGCTAAATATATATCTTAACGTTTCTGTAAATGAAAAATAAAGATTTGTTGTCGAATATTTATACTGCTTTCTCTATTGTAGTTTTCACTGCTTTTAAGTACTGTTATTTGCTACGATGTAGTTCCAAAACTCTAAATTTTTAAAAAAAATATTTGAAAAAGAAATCATTGCCATCTGATTTTACGTGGACCTGTTTTGAGCAGGTTCCCAATTGGGATGCTTAAGATACTGAATATTATTAAAAACTTTTTCTAAACATTATTTTTTTTAGCCTTGATAAATTTTTAAACTTTTTAAATAAATGACTTTAAATAATACAACATATATTTGTCTATGACTAAAAGCTGGTCTAAGAAGATATAAACCCACCCTCATTCTATGTGTCTTTTTATTAACGTTCACAACATCAGATTTAACTGATTTTTTTTCTTTAGTTTTAGACAATATAAATAAATTTGAAAAGATAAAAATTACAGTTATAATAAAAATATAACTATTTATATATAATAATTTATAATGAAAAGACATAATTATTTATAATAAAAAATGTAACTACAACTTTTAAAATGTTACAACTTATTACTTTTGGATAGAAATCGATATATAAAAATGATATAATTTCAGACGCTTTACAAATTTTAAAATATATAATAAGAATACTTACCGTCTTGGCAATTAGTTTATGCAAGAACAACGGAGTTGAAGATTTCAAAGCACAATGACAAATTAAATAGATGATCCATTGAGAAAGTTGGAGATGATTTGTTACCGGTATATATATATATATATATATATACATACATACATATTGATAAAAGAGATAATTTTTATATTAATAAAGAAAATTATAATTATATATCTAACCTAAATAAAATGACCCATGTCTCTTTGCTTCTCTTCCATTAACATCAACAAAACTTTCTCAAACCTTTTCTAAAGTTGCATGCAGTGAGTAGATTTTTTCATCATAATAAAGATAAATATTAAATATTTTTTCAAGATGAATAACAATATTAAATATTTTCTATGCTTTTAAAATTTTGTTTCATACATATTTTTTTGGAAAATGATTATATTTCAGATTTTCTGTTATTATTTTTATTTTCAGAAAACTATCTAGATAATCTACATTTATGATAAATCATTATAGTAAAAAAGTAAAAATCAAATCTAAATGAATTTTTAATATGGTTTTGAGTAGTATCAATAATTTTAAAATGATACAAATTACAGTTGTGATGAAAAAATATAATAATTTATAATGAAAAAACACAACTATTCATAATGAAAAGGCACTACTCACAACGGATGAAAAAAACACAACTATTTATAAGGAAAAGACGCAACCACAGATTTTGAAACGACGCAATTTGTGAAAATGTAAATGGCATTTATTTGAATTATTATACATTAAAAAAAATAAAAATGATATGGTTACTATAAGGTAGTTTATTAATTTTTATAATATCGTAAGATAAATGAAAGCTATAATACCGTAAGATATAAGATATTTACTAATGAATTGATATTTGCATTTAGGATGGAGATATGAAATTAAACGTACCACACTTGAAATCCTTCTTGGCTTCCCTCACCAATAATTCCAGTTTGAGTCACCTGCTGCACCAATGAAGAAAAATCAATCAAATAAAACCAACCATGAATCAAGTTATACATATTGGGTGTGACACAAGACTGCTCAACGAAAATCTTGTTCATGGTTATGTGTATGCTTAATAGATGATTCTGACACCATACGGTAAAAGAAAAAGCTAGCTTTGCTTTTTTAGATGTATTGTTTATGTTATTTCTCTACTCACTTCTGGTTTCAGCTTGTCCTGAAAGGCTTTCATGTATGTTAGATTTGTCTCCTATTTACTTCGATGTGGATCCGTATTGATTTTCTTCTTAGACAGGATCTTCCGGTTGAATTGCAGCTTCGGCGGTGAGGGATGCAAATTTTTCTGTTTAGTATTTTTTATTGGTATCATAAATTTAAATAATAAAAATTAGAATCAGACAAAAATGAATTTCTATATAATTTTAAGCAATATAAATAAATTTGGAAAGATACAAATTTTAGTTGTGCTGAAAAAACACAGCTATTTATAATGAAAAAATGCAACTATTTATAATAAAAAGATACAACAATAAATTTTTAAAAAATACTATTTTTTAAATCTTTTGTTTCTGTGTCTTCCCTTAAATCCTATAAGACACCAATTCTCTTCGTTCGCTTCAACAGGAGCCATGACTGTCTTATAATCATTCAGACAAAACTTTTTTTTTTGTTTTCTCGGGAAGCCATTTTATCATTGTAATAATTCCAAAATGCATTCCATAGTGTTAATGGTTTTGTAAATTCATTATGATATACTAATTTGACAAATAAATTACACAATTGATTTGGTGTAGCAGTAAATGATGCTTCTTTCATAGCCACATACCATTCATCATCATTTCAAATTAGATTATTTGTCACACATGCATCTGTCCAAGTTTTAAGACCTTTGTCCCATACATATTTTTTGGTTAATTGATTGTATGATAGATTTTTTGTTACTTTATCTTCTTTATTTATGGCAAACCATTGAGAGAACATGATTCTATTTTACAGAAATGTATAACGAATAGTTTTTTTTAATGTTATCAAGCAATATAAATAGATTTTAGAAGACACACGTACTTAAAATATGCGATTGTTAGTGAAAAGAGAGTAATTGAACGTTGCAACTTTTGAAGGTGTTTAAAATTTCTAATTTATATTTATTGGTTTTGTATAACATATTTTCTACTTTAAGAGTAAAATCAAGATGGTTTCAGAGAACGGAGAAGATTCAGAAAGAAATTTTGTTATTTCCAAACTATTTGAAAATATACATACTTTTAATTTTGAAGAAATTCCTTTAGTTAAAAGATTTTTGGAAAGTAAAAAATTGAAAAATCATAAAAACAAAACAAAGGGAAGGAAGAGAGAATATACGTGTTTGGTAATGATGTTGCTGTGAAAGTGTTCATCATCTTTGAACAACGTATTCGATCTTTACGATTAATCCAAAGACTAACCAAGCTCAAACCTCTTCCCTCTCTTGTTCCTATTTGTCTCTAAGCAAACCCTAATTTTGGTCCCGTATTGTTTTTCTTTTCTTCTCTAGTACTCATATTTTATATTTGTAGCTAGGTCCTCACTAAAAAAACAGAAATTTGCAAAAAAAGGATCTTTTTAGAATTACCCTCAATAATAAAAATAGAATATTCAAAGAAATATACATATTGCTGCCTTCTAATGAAAAAAAATCCTCAGGGATTTTAAAATGGATCTGGTGATACTTGAGAGATTTCGTTAGGTTGTGTAATATGTATAATATAATGTTCAAAGACAACACAATCTTTAGTCGATGGGGAAAGTTATAGTCCGCTATGATATTTACTCATTTCATGACACAACAATCATAGAAGAATGCTGACATAAAAAAACTTTCATTATTTCACAGCTTATTGTAATAATAAACCCATTATAGTAAGAAACGACACAACAATCATAGTTCTGATTTCGGTTTATAGATCATCAATCTATATATCTTTGAGAGATTTGATGGTATCAGTTTTGTGAAAGATAATATCATAAACAAACTGTATAATTGTTTTGCTTCTTTATTGCCACATAATATTTTTTATAATTATTAACTAAATTTTTTGATATAGATACATCTTCAAAACTATTCTGAATTTATATTTTTTTGCAAAAAAAAACATAAACCATTACAGTAAAAAAGTAAATATCAGATCTAAATGATTTTAGTTTTTAGTTCTGTGCAATATAAATAATTTTGAAAAGATACAATGAAAAGTTGCAACTATTATAAATGAAAAGACGCAACCATTTATAATGAAAAGATGCAACCATTTATAATGAAAAGATGCAACCACCAATTTTGAAATAACACAACTTTTCGAAGGTTCAATTGACATTTATTCAGATTGTTATTATATATAGATATATATTATTTTTAAAATAATTTAATTACAAATCAAAACTTCAAAATAAAAATAAAAATGGACCAATAAATAATTTGTGTTTTGTTATTATTTTTAAATAATAACTTCAAATCAAAACTTAAAAATAAAAATAAAAATGGACCCATAAATAATGTTTGTTATTATTTTTATGTTCCTCAATTCCTTTTTTAATTATTCCTTTTTTTTTAACTATAAATTTCGAATTTATTAGTTTTTCTTTAAAAAAATACTCGATTTTGAAAGAGATATTAATTTCAAACCGGTGGGACACCACCGGCGGTGTCAAACCAAAACAATATGTAACTGAGAAGTGAGCAAATGAGAGAACCGGAGTACCGGACTAAACCCGGTACCTATTTTGATTTATCTTACATATTTTTTCCCACTTATTATTCTTTCTAACATTTCAGTCCAAACCCGAATGGGAACAACGGATCATACCCATCAGCTTCCGGGTTCAACGGCAACTGCTCCGTCGTTCTGAACCACGAAATCGGCAACTTACCAGTGAAATCGTAATCTCCGAACACCACGTCAGCTATCCCATCTCCTTCGGTTCCGGGCAACCAAGCCGCCACCAAAGCTTCAACCTTCTCCAACACCGTCGGATCCAAAAACACTGGTCGTCCCGTCATCAGAATCGCCACCGTCGGGATTTCCTCAGCCACCAATCTAATTACCTCAGCCCCATCGAAGTGTATGGACGGTTCAGGATCGTCGCCTCGTGACTCCGCATACGGAGGTTCCCCAACGACAACAATGGCGTAGGAGAAATCCTTGCCCGACAGAGTCTCCTCCGAAGGACTCTTCTCGTAAACCACTTCAGTTTCCACTCCTACAATCGCTTTGACAGCGTCCAAAACCGTTGTTCCTGGACTCGTTGTGAAACAGAGGATCTTCAAATTGTTAGCTTGTTTCACACGAAACATAGGATGCTGAAATCGTTAAACTTGTTGCACAAGAAAATATTCTTAATTTGTTGCTTACCGATCGTGATCCTACCACTCTGACCCTGCCAAGTCTTGGACCAACCACCGCACTGAAACCCAAGATCGTCTGCGTGAGTTCCAGCCACCAAAACTCTCTTTGCGTTTCGATCTAGCGGAAGAAACGGTTTCTCTGAATCTTTTCCGTTCTTCAACAGAACTAAAGATTTTCTAACCGCTTCACGAGCTATCTCTCTATGTTCCTGAGTGCAAAATTCGAAATGTCTCAGGTTACTTATGCACAAACCTTAAACGGATGCTATGGATTTAGATGATTAGCTCATAGACAGAACAATCAAAAGCTAAATCTACCTTGCAGCCAACAAACTTCAGTAATGATTTGTCAGAGAAAGGATGTTCGAAAAGACCGGCTGTGAACTTCAATCTCAGGATTCTCTCGACCGCGTCATCGATCCTCGACATAAGTATTTCCCCAGACTTTACCAGAGATGTTAGATCAGTGATGAACTTCTCATACTTGTAAGGAACCATGACCATATCAATCCCAGCGTTGATAGCAGCTTCCACACATTCACGGTAGTTCGAACCACGTGGCTCACCCATCTTGTCGATTCCCGCCCAATCTGAAACCAAACATCCCTGCAAAAACATAATAATCACAATTAAGAAATATTACTTAGTTTTTTGAACCAACCGGGGAAATGAAAGAAGAAGAAGTTGTGGTTTCGACCTTAAAACCGAGTTTATCTTTGAGAATCTCCGTCAAGAGGAAACGGTCTGCATGGAGTTTGCGTCCGTTCCAACGAGAATAAGTAGGCATAACCGCGGAGACACCTTGAGCAAGACAGTTCAAGTAAGGAGCCATATGAATCCTCTCCAAGTCTTCGTATGAAGCCACCGTGTCTCCTTCATTATTTCCCTCTTCTGTACCACCATCTCCAACAAAATGCTTTGCACATGCAACCACATTGTTTCTGAAAACATAACCATAAAGTATAAGAATTTGAACAACACGTTACGTGCTTGTCAAGAAAGGTTTTAAATGGACCTTCCGGCTAGGAAAGGGTAACCGGCGGGATGTCCTTCCGGTGGAGTTCCTTGCAGACCGGAAACGATGGATGTCATGTTGCAGACAACGTCGGTGTTTTCGCTGTAGCTCTCGAAACATCTTCCCCATCTCGGATCTTTGCACACCTGTGAAAGCCCAAACCCACATACATGACATTGATCAGATATTGTTCTGTTTTCTTTCCGGTTTCTTGTGACCTAAGAAACAATATATTAGATGAGAAGACTTACAGCCACACAAGGTTCAAATGCCCATTGAGCTCCACTTGCCCTAACTTCCAGAGCAGTCGCTGAGCCAATCCTTCTAGCCAAATCAGCGTCCCTGCCAAGTTAATCGAAAATTTAATCCGGTTCAAAATCTTCTTGACGAATTAAATCGGATTTTAAGCTTTAACTCATACTGTTTGATGAAATTAAACCAGACCATATATGTTTAATTAAGTTCAACTGTTCAACATCTCCTCAACCGCATGAACCGGATTGAAACATAAAAATCTTACGTTGTGCATATGTATCCATGTACGAACAGAGTTCCAACCTAAACCGAAACGAATTGATCTTCGGTTAATAAATTCTCTAAACCGATTAGTGGTTAGAACGAACCTTGTGGCACCTAGTCCTATGTTGTGAGGAAAAATGGTGGCACCGTAGAACTTGTTGTTCCCGTGAACGGCGTCTAAGCCATAGATGATTGGTATGGCGAGACGAGTCTCGAGCGACGCCGTCTGAAAGCCGTCGATCATCTTCGCCCAATCCGCTGACATCACATCATTCCCTGATTTCCCGGCGGAGTTGCATACACTCCCTGAAGAAAGACACAAAACAAAACGACTCAGTTTAGTGTTCATATATCCAATATACCAAATCACTCTCTGTAACCGTGGAAACTGAAAATAACCGATGAAGAAGTCTTTGACGACGGCGGCCGAGGAGACGCCGCGGTGGATCTGAGTCATCTGACCGATCTTCTCCTCAACTGTCATCCTTTGTAAAAGGTCTTGAATCCGATCTTCTACGGCTTCTTTTGGGTTCTTGTAAATGCAGTCCATGACGGTAACTTCTCCGACGTCGGTCATTTTCTCCGGTTATATATCACTTGACTAAATTCGAGTGTTGTGTCCAGCGAACTTGTCTATATTTATACAGAAAAAATGGGACTAAACTTTTAAATTAATTTTTATCAGTTTCTCACGGACTATCGGTCATGAGATCTGGACCCGTAAGTGAAAGAAAGTAATATATTATATAAATACGATTCACCGAACACACACAACTTTTTCTTTTGAAAAAAAGCTTGCAGTTGTTAAATTCAGGATTTACACAAGATGCAAACGTTGATGAATTTCGACGATAGATCTTATCTACCTTTTGTTATTATTTTATCAGAGTGCTGAGTGAGGCATATTTTACTCTATTTCACTATTTGGTACCAACTACCACACACAAAGCCACAAAGGCAATTGTTTAAGACCGAGAGCAGTCAATTCAAAAGTATTTAGTAGTTAACTCGAATGATCTTGGCATTTTCGAGGCTCCAAATTAGTTATCTTTTAAATTATTACATTTCTAGGTCCTTTCGTTCTTGTCATTTTGTGCAGAATGATTGATTATTTTTGTCACAAGTCTATCCTTCACCAGAAAACTCATAAAATAAATAGGTAAAAACCATTTCATCAAAAACGATTTCCAACAAATTTAACATATGTCTTCTTTTCGCTTCTTTATTTACTGTTTTCTTATCTCTACTAAACTAAAATCAGCTTCTTTGTCATGCAATATGGAAAAAGGCAATTTTTTTGTCGACAAAGTTTAATTTTTTTTGACGAAAGAGCATATGTGGTGGACGAGCAATTTTCTAATTTTTTACTTCATTCATACCAACTACCAAGAACAATAGCATTTGTTTTCTTGACCAAGAGTAGTCTCAAGTCAATTATCTAGAATTAAATTAACTCGAATTATCTTGGCATTTTCGATACTGATCCAAATTGGGTCTCAATTTTGTAGTAAATCATTACATTTCTAGGTCTATTCCTTTTTTTGTCATGTTGTACAGATTTATTATATTATGACCATGTATTATCTTGATTTATTTTATTTTGTTAATTTCATATGAGAAGATGCTTAGGAATAATGTAAAATACTAGCATTGCAATTTACAAAGTAAAAATTGTGAACTACAAGTCTGCAACGATAGTGTTTTACATTTGTCCCAAGCAGTTTATAAAGTAAAAAACTATAAAACTGTAAAACCGAAAAAAGTAAAAAAAAAAGTACCTTAACAAGCTACACATTTTGATCATGACTCGTATGGTTCGTATACTTGCTTGTACCGATTACCACTACGAGTAAATTAAAACGTAGTCTCTTTGCTTTCTTTCTCCTACTGTCCTACACATGTATTTCGAAAACAATTGACAAAAATAAAATACAAAGTAAAAGAAAGTATATTTTTTTCTTTGGGTCAATTAAAGAGATGCGCCGAGCGTGGATCGAACACGCGGCCTTGCACCGAGGTATTCGTCAGAACGCTCAGGTCACGCTCTGCCGACTGAGCTATCACCGCATTGTTCTCATCTCTTGTACATTTAGTATTTAATTTTTATTAGTATGAAAATAATATAACTTTATTACTTCTCATAATTTTTCTTGTATACTTTTAACTGTTCTCTTAGATAAATTATAAAATTAATTTTTGATATATTTATATTAAATCAGTGGAAAATTTTCGGTTTTCTTATACATTATAAACTGTATTTTTTTGTCGTTTTCTTAATTTTAAAGCTTTAATATGTGTCATAAATTTTGCAAAAACAGATTGGATACTTGGATGGTTCTTGATGGTAATGTCTATTATTTGAAACCAATTAGATAAGCTCTTAGATCATGCAAGATCATGAGTTGAGACTTTAATCAGACTTAATAGCCAAGAATGAAACTCTCTAAGAATGATAGCACAAGAAAAATTAACACAACAATAACCTATAAGTCTCTCCATGGTTTGACACATCAGCATTTTCAAGGTTTTAGGAGATGACATTTCAGCAAAAAAAAAATACCAATAAAAATATTTTATTAATATAAGTCATTAATTTATTTTAATTTTTAAATTTAAACCCATTAAAAACTCAAATATTTTTTATTGTTAATTTTAGTTTTATTTTTTGGTCAAGCCCAAACCCAAATAATAAATAACAACAAATAACAAAAAAATTTGTTTTATTTTTTTAACAAACCCAAATAATAAATAACAACAAATAATAAAATTAAATCTTTGTTTTATATTTTTGTCAAACCGAAACTCAAATAATAAATAAGAGCAAAAAAAATTAAAATTTCTAACTATGTGTTTGTTTGATAGAGATGGATATGATTGAAGAAAGTATAGACTCATCATCAACTATGTTTCCATAACAACAATGCAAAAAGCGTTATGTTATAAGAAGCTCACACATCAGCAAAAATTTGAACCAATAAAAACATAACAATAATACATATTACTAACACATTAATAAAATCAATTTACTATTTTGCTGACCCATTAAAAAGCCCAAAGTTTACAAAAAAAAATGGACGACGAAAGCAAATGAGGAGAAACTCAGACCACCACAGCTTGGAGATTCACATTTCCACTGGTTACCGAGAACAATTTTCTTGAGTTTGGCGGAAATAGAGAATTTTTTGGTTTTGGTAGAAAAATATGATATTTAGTTTTGGTAGGAAAACATAGTTTCTCGGTTATGGCGGAAAAAACGTATTCTCGGGGTTGGTGGCAAAATGTGAATTTTTGGTTTTAGTGAGAAATAAAAAATTTGATTTTGACGAGAAAATGTGAGGGAAATACAACTTTTCAATTTTGACGAAAAATACGATTTCTCGGTTTTGATAAAAAATGCAATTTTTTGGCTTTTGATGTATAATGTAATTTCTTGATTTTTGCGGAAAATTGTAATTTGACAATTTTGGCAGAAAATACAATTTCTCGGGTTGATAGAAAACTAAAATTTCTCGATTTTGGCAGAAATAAACAATTTATTGGTTTTGATGGGAAATACAAATTTTCAGTTTTTGACATATAATTTGATTTTTGATTTTCGAGGGAAAATATGATTTCTTAGTTTTCGTGGGAAACGCAATTTCTCAGGAGATAATGCAATTTTTAGTTTTTGCGGAAAATTGTAGTTTATCGGTTTTGGTAGGAAGGCGTAATTTTTGATTTGACGAGAAAAATATTTTTTTCTTGTTTTGGTGGGAATAGACGATTTCTCGATTTTTGCGGGAAAATAATTTTTTTGGTTTTCATGGAAAATACTGTTTTTTGTTTTTGCAAGAAGATGAAATTTTTTGGTTTTGGTGAATAAACTTAATTTCTCTGTTTTAACGGAAAAGCACAGGTTCTCGCGAAAAAATGTGGTTTTTTGGTTTTTGAGGGAAAATGCAATTTCTTTGTTTTGGTAGGAAAATGAAATTTCAGGTTTGACGAGAAAAATGATTTTTTTTTTGTTTTGGCGGTAATAAGCGATTTCTCAGTTTCGTGAGAATTAATTTTTTTTGTTTTATCGGAAAATGCAATTTTTCGATTTTTGTAAAAAGATAAAATTTCTCTGTGTTAAATTTTCAAGTTATAATATGTTTATGGTAACCAAATTTGAATTATTTAACTTCAACTAAATTGATATTTCAATAGTTCAAATAGAACTTTCTATTTAGTTCTAAAGTAATAGTAATCATTTTGAAATGAATGTTATTGATTATAGTTTGGTAGTTTTAGAAACATATGTCTATAATAAATATTTGATAAATAAATAAATTTTATAATTTAAAATAATCATATTAATTAATATTTTTTTCAATGGCAATTTGCTTTATATAAGTTCAAAAGAGGATCAAGTAGCAATTTAGTAGAAAAAATAAATTACATCTACCATTAGATTGAAGGTACTTAAAAATGTATTGTTTTATTCTTACATATACATTTATAGATAGTTAGCTAAACAAATTTGATAGTAGATTATAATTTTAAAAAATAAAAAAATTTAATGATATATTATGTTTATTCAGATTTAAAACATATAAATATATAACTTAAGCTAATAAAAAACAAATATAATACTCATTTAAAATATATAAATAATTTTATTATATTAAAAATATATACAAATCTAGAAAAATATCCCACAACAATAACCCATAAGTCTCTCCATGGCTTGACACATCAGCATTTTCAAGCTTTTAGGAGATGACACTTCAGCAAAAAAAACACCAATACAAACATTTCATTAATACAAGTCATCAATATATTTTAATTTTTAAATTTAAACCCATTAAAAACCCAAATATTTTTTATTATTAATTTTAGTTTTATTTTTTGGTCAAGCCCAAACCCAAATAATAAATAACAGCAAATAAAAAAAATTTGTTTTATTTTTTTGCCAATCCCAAATAATAAATAACAACAAATAAGAAAGTTAAATCTTTGTTTTATATTTTTGCCAAACCGAAAATCAAATAATAAATAACAGCAAAAAAAAATTAAAATTTCTACCTATGTGTTTGCTTGATAGATACATATATGATTGAAGAAAGTGTAGACTCATCATCAACTATGCTTCCATAACAACAATGCAAAAAGCGTTATGTTATAAGAAGCTCACACATCAGCAAAAATTTGAACCAATAAAAACATAACAATAATACATATTATTAACACACTAATAAAATCAATTTACTATTTTGCTGACCCATTAAAAAGCCCAAAGTTTACAAAAAAAAATTGAAGGCGAAAGCAAATGAGGAGAAACTCAGACCACCACAGCTTGAAGATTCGCATTTCTACAGGTTACCGAGAACAAATTTTCTTAGGTTTGGCGGAAATAGAGAATTTCTTGGTTTTGGTAGAAAAATGTGATTTTTAGTTTTGGTAGGAAAACATAGTTTCTCAGTTATGACGGAAAAAAGCGAATTCTCGGGTTTGACCGAAAAATGTGAATTTTTGGTTTTGGTGAAAAAATAAAAAATTTGATTTTGACGAGAAAATGCGAGGGAAATACAACTTTTCAATTTTGACGAAAAATACGATTTCTCGGTTTTT